CAGATTACAAAATATGAAAATAAAAGAGTAAATAGAGGATAATGGGATCATTTTATGGAACGTTCTTAGTGAACTCGAAATAGCGGTTTATTTGTTTGTTACCTTGGATTGGCTCGAAACTGGATGTGCACAAGGTAATAATATTATGCTGGATAATTCAAAGTTTATAATTAATAAGGTTGAATTTTAATTATAATATTGATGATTTAAGAGAAAGTGTTAATATTTAATGAAAAAAAAATTTAAACAATTCCTGATTAGTGTTTCAAGTGATAGCCAATTAAGCAACTTAAATCATTATTAATAAAGATTTAAAATGTCTCCTGACCTAAATTGGTTATGGACATGGTAAAAATATAAATTTAGTTAACAAAGAAATTTTCAATAAATTATTAATAATTATAAAATAAAATTAACTCAATGATTTGATATAGAATTTAGCTATATATTGGATTATATTGGATATCCATTTTTTATATCAAATTTTGGAAGAGTTTGTCTATTTGTTTTTTCGATCAATAAATATTGCTACAAATCCTTATAATTCTATTCATTTGATTAAAATGGTATTTAATTATTAGAAACATTAGATACAACTAGTATAATTAGTTTTTTTTATATTAAATTTCCATATAATATATTTCCATATAATTCCATGTAACATAATTTCCATTCCATATAATTAGTTTATTTATATTAAATGTAAAATTCCTATCTTTAATCATACAAATCAACAATACAGATATTTTCTTCTCTTTTAATACTTAAATCCAAAATATTAAAATTAATATTATCGGCATGNTTCCATATAATATATATCCATATAATATATTTCCATATAATTCCATGTAGCATAATTTCCATATAATATATTTCCATATAATTCCATGTAGCATAATTTCCATTCCATATAATTAGTTTATTTATATTAAATGTAAAATTCCTATCTTTAATCATACAAATCAACAATGCAGATATTTTCTTCTCTTTTAATACTTAAATCCAAAATATTAAAATTAATATTATCGGCATGATTACGAAGCAAGATTAATCCTCCGGCATACATATTATTCAACAAAATTTTTCTAGTTATGAAAATTAAAAATAAGTAAATCATCAGTAAATCTAAAAACAAATTTAATATAAAGAGTAAAATGTTTTTTAATAATAAAGTAAAAATAAAAGCTAAGAGTGATGAATAATTAGATTCTTGTGGTATTCAATCAATTTAAACAAAAATGTGTTTCCCATTGTAAAGATAATTATTGAAAAGACATATTAACTAGAATCTTATTCAAAATCACAATTAAGGATATTTTTATAATCATAGTAATAAATCAAAAGAACATATTTTATCTAAAAAAGGGGAATGCTGTTGAATAGATCTTGGAAATCAAATGTCGCAATAGCATTTATTTTATTTTGTTTAATAAATTCTAAAATCGGTTGTCCAATAGTAATAATTCAAGAAAAACCTTCTTTAATATCGTTAGTAGTACTTTTATTTAAGCAGTTAGAGAAAATGGAGCCAGGTTTAGGTAGGTAAGTATTAGACCCACAAGTGATCATTCTAAATTTATAGAAATTTTAATAAATTTTGGGTTGATCATTATTGGGTTGATCGAAATTGTATATTATTAATTTTAATTTTTAACTTCTGATAAAAAGCTAAATTTTTTAACGAAAATATTATTTAAATTGCAAATAAAAAATAGTAAAAATTTTAAGCTTAGTCTTTTTTTTTAAGAGATTATTACTATTATTATTACCGAGTTATTACTATGATTATAAAAAATATTCTAAATAGAAATTTCGATTATTGGTAAATTTCAACTAATATTTGTCTTTTTAATAATTATCTTTACAATGGAAAGTATATTTTTGCTCAAATTGATGGAATGCCACAAGGATCTAATTTTTCATCAATCTTGGCTAACTTATTTTTACACTTTATGAAAAATAAATTATACTCTTAATATTAAATTTGCTTTTAGATTTATTGATGATTTAATTATCTGTAACTTTCATAAATTATAAAATTTTGTAGAATAATATTTACCTAGAGGAATTAATCTTGCTTCGTAAGCATGATCTTAATATTTAAATTTTTTGGATTTAAAAAAAAAGAAGAAAATATATGCATTGTTGATTTCTGTAATAAAAGAAATGATGTTATTAACTTTTACAATTTACTAACAACTAGGGAACTTATTTAAAAATTAAGGAAAAAGATAAATTGGTGCACCTTGCAAGTCAGAAAACAGTTTTATAATTAAACCTGCAAATTTTTTTTCTTCCAGTGCCCACCCGATTGATACTAATAATTGGGGCATTAGTTGGATATATATGTTGACCACTCTTTCAGTAGCATCGTATTAGATTGGCCAACATTGGAAGAACATCCATACCTTGCCCGGGATTCAAACCCAGGACCTTTCTGATGTGATGTCAGCTCTCTGACTAGTACATAGAATAGTCAGCATGTATATAAATTTCATTAAAGCAAATAAAAGAATTTTAGTTTTAAATTTTAATACAAATATTTATAAACAATAGTAATAAATTTAATTAAACACAAAGATACTGCTGATTGATTGTTTTTCCCTTCCAATTAATGAATAAATAAAAATCATTTTTTACATATTGTGTACAGTCACAATGGAAGTTAAAATTACTGTAAAAAATATCTGTTCAATATTTAAAATTTTGTGTACTTATGACAATGTGCAAAAACTATGTAAGCCAATTAGCAGGAAGTTAATATCCTAATTACATATTTAAAAAACCATGCATGGAATAGTAGCTATAAGAAGTCAATTTTCTTGTAGTTTACAAAAATGTTGCAGATTTAGAGCATATAAATATATGGGTTGGACCTAGGGGTATGTTACACCAGGCTCAATTATTTCAATGTGATTAAATATTGTTGTTTGATTTTTTGTAAGTTTGATTTATTGAATATTGTGAGTAAAAGAGATTTCTTTTTTCTTCATTCAAGCAATGTTAAAAGAAATACCACTGAATTAACCACTAATTCTGATTCATAACTCTAACAAAAATTATTTAAGATTTTAAGACATTGACATAAGACTTTTATGATTAATTAAAATAGTGGATTAGAAAAAAGGTTTGGAACATTAACTATTCACAGAGGGGTCATTTTTTGCATGAATAATCACAGATTTTTATTAAAAAATTTGGATAATAAATAAGTAGGTTTTAGTTTTATGTTATCCAAAGTTAAAATTTGATAATGTACTCTAAAAGAAAAAATTTTAATTGAAAAAAATTATTTTATTAATTTAATTATTTACTTTTTTTTAAAAAAAACTGTACACAATTACTTTTATATTTCTTAAAAAATTTTTACATTTATAAGAACATTGCTGTCCTGTTTGTTAGCATATTTGAAATTTTCTTATAAAATTTTTAATCATCTTAGTTTTTAAAAAAAATTCTATTTTTTAATTATTAATACTTATAATCTTTTTAAAATCGTAGCCAATTTCTGTTATCCCTTTTTTCTTTAACTTTAAGTGCTTAAATCTGTGATTAGAAAGTAAACAAAACATTAACTACTCAACACTGATTTCAATAATTCGTCTGATTTTAACAATTCATTTGATTTGAAACATTAACACAGCATTTTTAAAATAATTAACGATTTAAAATAATAGATATAAATACTTTATTTTGTGCTTCAATCTCGAACTAAAAAAAACGCCCTAGACTTCTCAATAATTATGAGATCTTGTTCTTGAAAGTATCTTTAATCTTTAAATTATAACTAACAATTCACAATTATTCAATAAAATTTATATAATAATAATAGATGTTTTGTTATCATCTGCCATATTCTTAAAAAAAATTCTGCTTCTGAATTTCTTGTTTTATTTGCATACATCAATAGAAATAATTTAAATTTTTAAAACGGACCTTCACAAATTCTGAAAAACAAAGTGTCAAAAAACTATGAAACTTATTATTTATATAAGATTATTTTTAAAAAAAATAATACAAATGTATTTATTAAATTTTTTTTAAATTTATGCCAATTTCAAACCTATTTAAAAAAATTGAAGAAATTTAATATTTTTATTTTAGTTTGTAATTTTAATATTTTTATTTGTAAATAAAAAAGGATTATATTATCAACCAGATGCTTATTATAAGCTGCTATAGATAAACTTTAAACAAAAAACACTTAAAAATAATTTATGTCAAATTTCTACCAAAAAATTATGTTAAGCTTATGTCACCTGGGCAATCAAGCATATCAAAATATCTACAGATTCATTTATAATAGTCTTACAAATGATACTTCAGATTTTAATTTTTAATTGTTTCTAAATGATAAATAAATAAAGATAAAAAATAAATAACTATATAATAAATTCATAAAATAAATAAATAAATGCAAAAATATATATAAATGAAAGAATTTGGCAATAAAACAATCTTTTTTATTGAATTCAATGCGTGAAAATTTTATATTTTCCAATGGTAATACATACAAGAGTATAGGGGAACATTAACATTTCCAATGGTTAAAAAAAAAANCTAAGTATAGTTTAAAAAAAAAAAAAAAAAAAAAAAAACAGTTGGATACTTTGTTTACAACTGCTTAAAAATTTTCAGCAGTAATATTTAATAGTCTGCAAAATTTATATAGTAAACTCTTATTTACTAAGAAGCTAATTCTAATAGTTATCATTGGCTTTTTAACTTTAAAAAAAAAAAAAGTAGTACATATTACGAAACAAAAAATAAAATTTTAAAAAATTATTTTCTCTTGATATACATGGCCAACTATTAAATGACAGCAACATATTTTGTCAGCATGGCATAAATTAAAAAATAAAATAATTTACGTTTGAAATTAAATAAAATAAACACATACAAAATTTTAAATAAAATTCTGGGCATAATAAGTCAATTTGATGAGCAAATTTGCTTACTATGAACAAAAATATTGCAACAGTTAAAATTATGTCACTTACTTGCTGGTCTTGTGATCCCAAGTAAACCAGCGTTCCCAAGTTTCTTAAATAGGTCTTTCAAAGGAATTTTTTCATCTTTTTCCCACTGATCTATAAATGGATCTATGTCTTTTTCTATAATCTGAAAACAATTCATAAAAACATGTTTAATATTTAACTTCAATTAGGGTGATATAACGTAATAAATAAATACATACCTTGTTAAGAGTTTTCTTCATTTCCTCATGTTGTTCAGTGAAAATTAGATTTGTTGTTGAGCTCAAATGGAAATTTTTTATTTTATTTAAAAAACAATTCCCAAAAGGGAATTTTAGGACACGATTTGCAGATTTTAGCATTTTACTTAGTAATATAGATCAACGAAAATGCAAAACAATTCGAATCACGCTGGTTATCTAACTTCAAAACTTTATATGAATATTTTGATTGAGTAATCGAAGTTAGCAGCCGATATTGCTATATCAATTTAGTGGTCGCAGCTAGAAGAATAATTTAAAAGATATAACAATTAACTATTTAAGTTATTATTTAATCTCATTTAAACTCATAATTAATTAGAAATATTGAATACCAAGTGCGTGATGAAGAATTTCTATGATTTCTGGTAATACTGAATATTTTTTTATCTTGCAATAAAGCTTAAAGCATATTTTTTTTACATATCATGGAAATTTTATCAAGCTGCGTAATTAAAACCTTTCTTCTGCTCACTTTTCTCTCACATGTTTGTTTTCAATTTCAAAACCAGAGACATATTGTCTGTATTTTAAATATAGCTGTATTCCTTGTTGTTTAAAACCAACTAAATAGTACTTTCTCATTCGGAAGAAGCATTTTAAAATTTAAATTACTTCGGTATTTATCATGCAAAAAATTCGTGAAGATTATAAGAAAATTGAAAATATTGGTGACGTACTGTTAAATACATCGAATCCTCTGAAAAAAAGATTCAGAGCTCTATTTACTCTAAAAAATATTGGGGGTCCCTATGCGATAGAATTTATTTCAAAAGGATTTTCCGATTCATCGGCTTTATTAAAACATGAATGCGCATATTGTTTGGGTCAAATGAAAGATCCTCTAGCCATTCCTAAGTTGATCTCGGTTCTTGAAGATCTTCATCAAGAGCCAATTGTAAGACATGAAGCTGCGGAAGCTTTGGCGGCTATTGGAGATCAAATCTGTCTTCCTATTTTAAATAAATACATACATGATTCTTCTAAAGAAGTGTCACAAACTTGCGAAATCGCAGTGCAAAAGTTTTCTAACTCTATCCCTTCAAACAATGCACCACAAAATCCATATAAATCTGAAGATCCTGCGCCCCCACTGCCAGCAAATTCTTACAAATCAATCGAAGATTTAGAAAATATTTTTCTTGATAGCTCTGTACCACTCTACCAAAGGTATCAAGCTTTGTTCACTCTGAGGAATCTTGGCACTAAAGAAGCAGCTATTGCTATAGCAAAAGGACTAGAATGTGGATCTCCTCTGTTTCGTCATGAAGTAGCATTTGTTCTGGGTCAAATGCAAAATGCTGCAACTGTTGAACAGTTAACTAAAGTTCTTCAAAATGTTGAAGAACATGAAATGGTAAGACATGAGTGTGCTGAAGCACTTGGAGCTATTGCCACAGAAAAATGCATGGAAGCCCTTATTACTTACCTTGTAGATGATAAAAGAGTTGTACGAGAAAGCTGTGAAGTTGCTGTTGATATGTGTGAATATGAAAACAGTGTGGAATTTCAGTATGCTAATGCACTGCTAGAGACATGAAGAGGAAAAAATTGTAATAAGTTTACATAGTAATAAATATTAAGGTGATGATTTAAATTTGTTAATTTAATCCAGGCTATTTCCGTATCGTGATCTATCGCTCCAAATACAATTGCCAAATAGATATAAAAAAAACATGTAGTTGTTTACCTGGGGATGGCTATTAGTTATACCTTTTTTGAGTTGGACCCTTTCTGTGATGTTTTTTTTTAGTTTCTAGCGTTTTGCTGTTCAGAAGTTACCAAGACTTGGCGATTATTCTGCCATAGATCATGAAACGGAAATATACCCATCTAATCTACTAAAAAAGTGTTCATAAATTTTTATTTTTAAAAATACTATCAAATTTATTTAACCAAATTTCTGCCACATTATTTGTTCTATAATGATTGCAAAAATTAAATATGTATAGCAAAGGAAAATCATGGTGTTTTTATGAGTCTGCTTATGTCTAAGACATAACACTTTAACAAAATTTAATTCAATAACATTTAAAGTAATACTTAAGACATAACACTTAACACGTTCATTGCCCATCTCAGGGCAATACGTTATAAAAATCACTAGAAAGAGTACTAACATAAAGATCTACAATAAGTTTGTATTTAAAATTTTAATCAGCTTATTTTTTATAATTAATTTACCTGCAATATGCTTTACACTTTTAGTAAAATTTTTTGATTAGAAGACTAAGGTTATGACTATCATTTTAAGAGAACAAATAAAATTGAGATGCAAAGTTACTTATCGTTAAAACGGTCTTCATAAAATACTAATGTTTTAAGAAACTCATGATTTTTTACTATAGTAGTTTATAAGTCTATACTAGGAAAAGTCCCGCAGTGGGTTGATCGTAAAGACAGTTCTCAGAAGAACACCGAAGTCAAGAATCACTGACTGCGGTCAGTAAGCGGGTGGGTGAACACTTTGATCAGCCTGCATAGGGAGCAAGGGTTTTCGTCCTGTTAAACTGTTCTACAGTAACATGCTCGACTTGACACACGGGTCATCGGGCTACCAAAGCAGGGGAACCGTCCCCTCTGCAGAGGATCGACATTACAATGGCATGTCTTCGGATCATCTTCAGGGATGTTTCCCAGACAGTTATCATTAGCCTATTGTGCAGCTCTAGTACGACTTAAACAAAACACCTACCTCAAACAAGGAAAACAAACTTCTTCCCTTCAAACATTGTAGAATTCTGAAAAAAATTTGTACATTATTTCATTTGTGATGCCTACTATATCCTTTTTAAACATATCAGGCAGATCAAAAAGAATTCAAATGTTCTGAACATTAGACCGTTATTGGCATGTGAGCATATTAGAACATACATTACTTCATGGAGTATGAAATTTAAAGGTTAAGTAAATACTTTAACAGCTTATATAACATTGGTTTAATATTTTACAATTTTTTTTTTAATGTTATATACCTTGTCTAGTTAAAGAAATCCTTGTAAGCTCTAAGGATTTTAAAAAATATTAACTCTACAAAGAAATTATCAGATATTCACACTATTATGTAGTACGAGTTCTTGCATGGAACTACTGCATCGCGGACTGTGTTAATCATAGCTTGTTTATTTGGCTTTAATGATAGTTGACTTTAGTGTTGATTGAATCAAAACACTTTGAAGTGTATTAACCATAAAAAAAAGCTAATGGTGAGTGTTTTGTGTTCTAGTGCAGGTATGATCCATTATTTTACGAAACTTGACTTATTTAAATATACTAGGAGGCTTCGCCCCCTGCTCGCTAACGCTCACCAACCCCCGGAACTGCTTTCGCAGTTCATTTCGGATTGCTTCGCAATCCAATGCTCGCTCATTGGATACGTTCTTAACGTTTTGCTTTTGTATACTTTTTTGAATACTGAAGTTCCGAAAACTTTTCACTGTAGAAAATTCTAAAACTACATTTCAATATTAATTTGAAATTGCAAACACTATTCTAAATTTCAGTTGTTGAGAAAAGTAACTGTTGTAAGTTTTGTTTCAAAGTCTTTCCCACCAGAGGGCTAAAGCCATGTATTGTAAAACAATATGCAATAGTAGTCTGCTACTGAACGCCCGATGTAAAGCATCGGCTTCGATGAAGATAATTTTGCATTTTTAATTCTCTGAAGTGCGCCACCCTAATAATATAGAATTTGAAAAATAAATTTATATTTGTTGATGAAGCCCATCATTTTGTGTTTTCATCAGTGTTCAGAAGCAGAACAACTATAAGTTTTTTATTTTATCACAAAATTATAAAAAACAAAAGAGTAAGAAAATGAGTATAGTCATAGAAAAAGTTAAAATTATAATATAGTATTTGTCAGTTAAAATAAAACTTTTTGTTTAAGTCATTTCTAACAATTCAAATTTCTCCGAGGCAATTCTAAAGTATAAATTAAGGTAGTATTGTTAAGTTGAAACACAATATTTTTAGTTTTGAAGTCAACAATGCAATTCAATTTTTCACAAAAACAATTGTTTCCATTGTTAAATTCAATGTCAACAATTCAAATTTTTCTGAGGCAAACTCTTAACCTCTAAATGTTACTTTTTTATGTACACATTTCTAAATGTCAGTATTTAATCACAAAACAACTTAAAGTCCTCAAATTTAGCATGAAGTTGTAAAATGTAATGAAAGAGGGTCATAGCAATAATGAAAGTAGAAGTAAAGTTAGCATTGTAAAATTAAAACAATATTTTTAATCAATGAGCCAAGTTCTTCAAGAAGCAGTTGTAGGAGTAGGTTGTTTATTTAAAACTTTTTATAGAATTTCTTTAAAAACACAATTGTTAATTTGGGCATTTGGCGATACAACACTTATAGAATTGAAGGATTTGTTACGTCAAGCTCTCAGGTATCATAATTTTGATCTAGTTGCCTATGTCATTTTGATTTATTAAGTTAACTTTCAAAAAATTCTATGGCTGGCAACAGCATTTTTATTTTTTAAGTTGTTTATTTTTATTTCTTTAGAATTCGTTATTTTTTAGTGAAATGTTTTTTAACCTAACAGAATTCTTTGCCGACTGATATATGAAGAAAATAAAGCAAATATTTAAGTGTTGTGAAAAGAATCTTTAGTTGTACAAAGTACTTCAGCCAAAATTTGGGAGCCACATAAGAGAATTATATATATTAGATCAGAAACACATCATTAAAAGGCAGAATGCTTTGATGTTTTCAAAACGTAAACAAAACAAACCACCGGCGGAAAAGAAATACAGCCAACATTTGGGAGCCACGTAAGAGAATTATATATAATAGATTACAACCAACTAGACGCAAAAAAAAAATTGGTCTACAGATGATTTGTCATATTGGGTGGCATTGCAAAACCACACTGCTCAAAAGACTATGAGAATTTTACTCTTTCATAGAAGTATAGTTAATTGGAAGAAAAAAAAATCATAGACAGTAACAACAAGGCTAATCTATTTATAAAAAATTTATTAAATTCATTATGAAAATATATAGTTTCTAACAATTTCACCACTATTTACATAATTATATTATAAATAAGAATTTAAATAAATTATTTTTAAAGTATTATTGCACAGCATATAAATAAAGTTATAATGAAAAAATTTAATATTTTCACACAAAATGAAAATTATTAAATTAAAAAATTGATACTGTAATATAGTGAACAGCACAAGTTATAACAAAAATACATAGCTAGTTTTTTTGAAATTATAAATATATGAAAATCTAGAATATTTTCACATAATGATAATTGGTATTTTTCAAACAATTCAGGATTGCATTTGCTAATAAAAGCAATAGATCAACTTTTCTTCTTTGCTGTATTACGAAATCGTTATTAACGAGCTGGACGAATAATTTTCAATGGAAATTTTTTATTGGCTTATAACCGATTGGTGTTATGCAAGAGAGGAAAAGAAAAATTGATTTTGTTTATATCCATGCAAGACACTGAATTGATTAAAAAATTTATTGAAAAGTATCCATTAAAATTTAATCTAATAAATGACTTTGGCTGATTTAGAGTTTATGAAAGATATGCTATTAGTAATATCTCTTTGATGAACAATCTGACAGTTTAAAAGCTAATTAGTTTCATCTTCTCATTAGCTAATGAATGGTAGTCAATCACAAAATTATTTTTATGTTCTTGTTAATAATTCACATGAATTTCTAGCTTCATGTTGCAAAATAACTATTCTTCTGTTATAGTTGTTTTTCTCTTTCTCATCAATACATTGACTTGAAGAAGTGACATGTATTTCAAGATGCAGACTCAAACACTATATTAAAAATATTTAAACATCAACTTCTGATAATAGCATTTGCATTCATAATGTAAGAGAAATTTTACTCTGTTAACTAGGTAATCTCTATAAATAAATAAATTCATTAATCTGTTCATGAATTTAATCAGTTAACGTGTTGGGAAGGTTAATACCTTCCCAACATAACAATTTGGAGGAATTAAATACATTTTCTTCGCAACTTGTATAGTTATGCTTTAATTAAAATATCTAGAGATTGACTGACATAAAACAGATTAAATTATCAACAAATAAGTCATTTTCCAACTCATTGACACTTATTCAAAATTAATACACCATAATCAATTTTATTACTTTCATTGTGAATGCACGCTGAATCTCTAGAAAAATTTAGTGTACAGTGCACATTAATTGAGGTACTCATTACCTAAAGAGGAGTGTTTTAAACTTAATTTTTTTTAAAGGCTATAATATTTTGCTTAATGTATTACCAGAGGAAGTGATTAATACCTTTCGATGTGGGGAAATAACGGGTTAAATTTTTGCAAGAATTATATTCAATATTTTACATGTATCTATTTCTGTGCAGTCACTGCTATAAAGCTTAGAGTTTAATCATATTAGGAAATATATTTCTTCCCCGTTAAGATTTGATGCATAATTTAAAATTATCACTATATAATAGTTTTTATTTTAATCGCTTAGTCAACATAAATAATCATTCTTATTTTGGTAATGGTTCTAGAAACATTAACATTGAAATTAAAAAAGTACAAAATTGAACCCTTTTAAATTTAAAAAAATGCTCAAATGCTATGCAGTGATAAACCTAGATAAATCCTATAGTTTTTCATTATTATTTATGAGAAGAATAGACTTACAAATATGGTACATAGTAATGAGAATCTGTCAAAATTGAAAATTTAACAGAAGGAAGTCTGAAAAGCTTTGTTTTAAAAGTTAGTTTTCCTAGTGTTAATGAGGAATGAATTTGAAAAAAAAAGACTATCACATTAAGAAATATATATATTCTGAGAATATTAATTTTTAAGAATAATGAATCGTTTTGTTACGTAGTTAACTTAACAAAGCTTAAAGTCAAAACAAAATATTTTCTTTATAAAGGCCTCGTCTTTGCTCTGAATAGAAACAAAAACGGCTCTGAATCATGCAACATTCTTCCTGTCTCTGACATACACAAAGCAGAGCTATAATAGAACCAGTTGAACCTCTTTCTTCACCTCAGAGATCACTTTATGAGGCAATCATAAACATTCAGATCGAAACAGTTAAGAAGGTCCACCCCATTTACATTGCATTATCTGCTTTCGCAGAAATTTTTCTCCAAAACAAAAAGCTGTTTTTAAGTTAAATGTATGATTTAATTAGAAGTGCATGTCTGATTTTGCAATAAGTAAATTGTCCAGGTCTACTATTAACCAACAAAAAAATAGCAAGTCCGTTATTTTAGCAGAACATGTTTACCTAATTTCATTTAGAGCTTTATGAAAAATATGAATTGGTGCTTTTGAAAAATTTACTTGAGAAAACTTTTTCATGAAGCATCTAAAACCACATCTTACTTTTATTGAGACAATAAAACTTTTAAAAACATCAATAGAATACTTCTGGAATTGATACTTTGAAATTCTAATTATTTTAAAAGTTTATAAAAAAAGTTCTTTATTATAGAGTAAGACATTTCTAATAACCTTAAAAATTGAAATCTGCAATTTTATACAATTTCAGGAAGACATACATACAAATGCTGCAATATAAGCTGAACTGCAATAGCCAAGATTTTAAAAACAGTAATATTCCATGAAGATGATTATTAACAATGCCGTAGAAGGATTAAGAATAAAATATTTTGGCTGTAAAGATGAATTACATCCATAACATTGACCAAAAATTAGAAGCATTTTTCGAAACATATGTGAAAAAATTCTTTATACTGCTATAATGAATAAAAATGTCAGCCCAAAATGTTTAATTATTTACCTTTCATATATGTGTAACTTAAAAATAAGTTACATGGAGTAAATAATACATTGTAAGCAGAGACAGAGTCAAAGAAAGTATACATGGGTCAAAACCTTCCCTGTAAAGTTAAAATACAGTAAACTCCCGATTATCCGCGGAAAATCTGCAAAAAGCTTAAAAGAGTCAGTCATCTTACATTTTTTAAAAATATAAATGATAAATTTCAATATCTATTATTAGCAGTTTTCTTCACATTTTTTTTTAAATTTCTGTATGAAAAAGCCTTCCATCTTTTTTTGTTTCTCAGTGCTGGAGAGCAGGAGGCTAAAATAAAACAGTTCATATGCTATTGAAAAAAAGAAGGCACAAAACAATGTTGGAAACACATAAATAAGTTCTTATATAGAGTTAATACACACACATGATTTTTAGAAACTCTTATCAGTAACAAAGCTAAAAATATACTACAATTCTGAAATCATGCATATGGTCCATAAATTATTCAAGGCCTTGCTCCATTCTTTTTCTTTTAGGGGTATAAGTGTTGTGTGGGGACCACTCTCATTTGTTAGTTATCAATTTTATAACTGATAAGAGTTCCAAGAATGTGTTACATGTTGACTAAATAAATAAGGGAAGATAATTCATTATATGAAGGCAAGATGGAAAAAACTAAATTTCTTTACTTGCTATCAACATCATTGCTTTGAAGAATAACATAAGATTCAGGAGAAAAAACTACTTGGCTGGGTGTTGCATCTATTCGTTGAAATTTAAACTTCATTCTGCATTTGTTCCACAGATGTAAATTATAAAGCATGTTGTCTTGCTCTTTATAAATGCCTGGCTGTTTTTACCCTTTCAATGCTCCGTTTTACTTAGGTATTACACTTGAAACTGAAATATTTATATGCAGACCCATTATTTGATTAATTGTGAACACCTGTGTTACAAACATGAATGTTTGCTAGTACAGTGCAGAACCAGTTATCCGGAAATCAGAAAACCGGAACGAAATTCGATAAATTTTCCGCCATTTTTAAAAAAATTAATTTTTTTCCTCATAAGATTTTAGGATTTTTCTTTCTTTTTTGAAAGATGTTTACCATACCATCATTTTAGAAATAATCATTACTGTATTACTTCATAGTTTTTTCTTCTTTTTAAGATTATTTCCAAATATTATTATTTTTTTTAGTTGAGTTTAACAATAAAAAAACAGCTTTTTGTAGCGATTCAGAGAACCGGAAAAATCAGTTATCCGGAATAGCGATGGTCCCGGATAATCGGTTCCCTACTGTATTTTACTCTCAAAACTCTTAAAAATAATTCCATTTCTATGAATTTATTTTCAATTCTAAATGCTATATTGTTTATTCTTGCAACAACACAAAAGTGAAGCGTGGATTTTTGGGAGTTTATTGTGCCTTTAACTTTTAATAAATATGTTTATTTTCATACATTGTGTATATCTAATAAGATATTTGAAATATTTTTCTTATGATGCCATGATGAAAGGAAAGGAAAATTATTTGCTAAAGTTTCATTCCTACTTCAAATGAGGAAAACAACAGATAGTCATTATAGCTATTGCAATTAGAAAATACACCATTTTATTGTTTTTTTTTTCATTATATGTTTTTGCTGTAATATATAATGTTTATTAAAAATAAATTGATTCACTGGAATAAATTTGTTATTTGTCAACCATCTTTGGTACTGACCAGAATTTTTCAAAATGGCAGACAAATCTAAAAATAAAATTGGTCATAACAAAAGTAAATTCTATAATCAGGATTAATTGCTCTATTTTTGAAGGGAGAAAAAAAAACTGTTTAAGGGTTACAAGAAGAATATGAAAACTTGAATAGATATATATATGCATTAGCACAAAAAGTTTAATTCAAATTGGACAAAAAACTGAAAGTTAAAAAGAAAATTTCATAAATGTTAAATATTTTATCACTTTAGATATCTAAACTTAATTTACAACCCTAATGTATTAACTGAACAGTTAAACATACGTACAGAACAGTTAAACAAGTACCAGAGTTTTAAAATGGAGAAACAGGTATATCAGAAAAAAAAATTTACCAACATAGTATTTTCACTTTAGATTAAAACATAAATATGAGTATATTTTTTTAAAAAATAAATCATGAGTATTTTGAAAACTCATGAACAAACATTATCAACAAATGACAGACATTTGGAGAGGGTCATCAGGAATTTAAGAATTGTATCTAAAAATGCAACACTTGGGCTCTGAGACATTTTAAAAGTGATATGACATAACATAATACTTATAAATGTTGTTTGCCGGCACATTTGTAGTACAGAATAGCATTAGAGAATAAATTTAAGGAGAAAAAAAATGAAAAAAAAACTATTTGAAAAAAAAATATTTTTTAAAAATTGGGAGGGAAAATGTTTCTTAATAATAATTAAAAATGTATATTATATTTATAAAAAAAATAAAATAAGCTCACTAATTCATATTACAATTAATTCATAATAAATTCATATTACAATTAATACTTCAGCACGTACATCATAAACAAATTGGAATTCTCTGTATAAAAATAGGTGGTAACCTATCAAGTAAAATGCAGGTTTTAACAAATATTTTCACTTTTGCTTAGCAGTCCCGAATAATTATTCATAAATTTAAAAAGAATGTTTAGAAGTCACATAATTATATTACATGGCCACAATTAAAGTAAATCTTATATTACATTATATTATTGTGTAACAACTTTGGTTACTTTAAGAAATTTTCATTCTTAGTTCAAAATTTTATTATAAAATTATCTCATTTTTAATCAATCATAAAATGATAAAAACTTTTCTAATAATTAAAAAAGCAGAAATGTTAAAGAGAGGTCGTAATCAGAAATTTAGATATTAAATTTGAAATAAAATTTGAATTAGAAACTATATATCTGTTTCCATTTTTATTAATCTAATAAACAAATGAAAAAAAAAATTTGTAAAAATAAAATAAAAAATAGCAAACATGCAACAAGATATTACAAGAAGATCATCTAATATTGATAAATATAAGTAGCTTTAATTGCACCATCTAAAACGACTTGTACATTTAAAGAATAAGTAATTAAACAATTGTTCTTTTCATTTCCATAAAATCTGAACGTTGTTCAAGTTATATTTTCTAATTTCATTTACAAATTAGTTTTAATTTCATTTACAAATTATTAATTCATTTACAAATTAGTTTTAATTTAATCATTTTTAAATTAGTTTTAATACTTTATTTTTACATTATTTAAATTTTTATCAATGCAAGACAACTGGAGACATAATACAAGCTTATAAATATAATAGTGCTTAAAACAATGGTAGGATAAAACATTTTTTAATATTTAACTCAAAAGTCTTATTTTCTCAAATATACATAATTCAAATATACAATTTATTTCATATATATGCAACATGGAAATGTACTAAATTAAAAAAAATATTTAACATGTACATGGACAAAAAGGCATATGCCTCTAACTGCTGGGACAAATCTAAGAGTCCAGGAACATGTTAAAAGATAAATAGCAGTAGTTTTTATTGCCATTATTCTTCAAAGAATTTAAAAGTAGGTATAATTTAAACATCAACAGATTATAAACTAGTAAAAAATAGTCAAATATCCTCTACAAATAGAAACATTAAATTGCAACCAGAAAATAAGAATAGACTCTTTATACATATTTTAAAATAAATGAGCAACGATTTGTGCAAAAGTTAGTGAAGCTTTAATTTTAAAAATTATACAACTTACCAAGAATAAATAATTTCATACAATACATCTAAATCTATGTACAATATACTATTCTTATCACATTTAAATAGTACATTTGTGACGAGTATTGTTAAGTTAATGAAGGCTAATCCCTTTCATGAGCATGTAATATCAAGATTTTATTTAAAAATAGAAATGTCAATAAAATTTGGCAGAATATTATTAGGCAAATATATATCTGTTTACAGTAAGTTTAAAAGGCAGAGTGCAGTAGATTTTTAGAATTTTAAAAACACACATATTTTTTATAAACTGGATCTAATTCTAGCTAAATGGATAATATCTATTGCACAGATAAAAATCTAAATGTTAAATTATCATGAACTATAATGCTTGAATGAATTGTAAAACTAACAATTATTTTAATTAACATTTGTTCAAATAATTATTTCAATCAGGTAATAAAAAAAATACCTCAAAACTTTTAATGTTCACTTTTGTTTGGGTAAAAGAAATAATTATTGTTTAAAAAAAGAATAATAAATAATCACAACAACAATAGTAATAATAACAAAAAAATCCCACATGTGTCAAACAAATAATTGTGAAATCACTCTTTGAAATTTTTCAGGAATGCTTAAAGGCCATTCATATTCATTTGGCACTGGTCCTTCAACACCAGATTCAAAAAAGTAGAAGAGTGGGAACCAAATTCTTGTTCGTCTACGATCATCTCGAACGAAAGCCCTGTTGTTTGCAAGTGCATGATAGTATAGGAAAAGTCGTGTTGAGATGTAAAAGGCAATGAAAATATCAATTGAGTAATGTTCATGGCCCGCCAATATAAAAAACACACCAAATATGTTTAAAACCCAAGTAAATGTATGAAGATAATACATGCTTCTAGGAGTATCTGAAATATAAATAAAAAATAGTTAATGTTAAATGCGTAAAAAATAGCTTGGAAAATCATGTAATAAATTTTATAATTATGATTATTTTTGCAATTTAAATGACCTTTAAAGTTGGTATACACAAATTACTTGGGTAAAATTGTGAACAAAATTTGAGCCAAGTATTGTCTTTTTAAAGAATAATATGGTGAAAAACTGGTTTGTAGTTGTGACTTACTACACATAAGTGAGAAAACAGGAGCTTGTAAAAACAAGATTTACAGAAGGTTCAATCAAAAATATATGAGTAGGGAAAAAAAACAGAACTTGACATAGAAGCTCTACTATTCATCATCTACTGCATGTACGGGTAAAAAGAATAGTTCATTGCATACAAATTGCAGCTGTACTAAAGCTACAATAAACACATACAAAAAGCACACCTTATTGTTAAAGAAGTACAACTACCACTACTATAGACACATGCAGAAAATATAGATCATAGAAGAGGAAGCACAACCACTAAGTAAAGTTTGCTCAGACACCTGGAAAAAAAATTCCTGATCGGTACCTTTTTTTAATACTTGATTTTTTTTTTGGTACAAAGGAGACAAATAAAACTCATTTTTATGCACAAAAATAACTTTTATAAAATATAATAACGAGGGAAAAAAATGTTTAATCTAATACATTTTTCTTTCTTGTTAACACAGTAAAATATTAAAAAAGTATATTGAAAAAATTGCAGCTTATTATTCCGCCTCNAAAAAAACTCATTTTTATGCACAAAAATAACTTTTATAAAATATAATAACAAGGGAAAAAAATTTTTAATCTAATACATTTTTCTTTCTTGTTAACACAGTAAAATATTAAAAAAGTATATTGAAAAAATTACAGCTTATTATTCCTCCTCTTTTGCACTTTGCAGGCAGTCATCACTTTTAAAATTAATACATAACTAAAAACCATGATTGTAATTTACAGCAATAACTGGAAAAAAAGAAGTTAATCAAATATATGTTTTGAGATTCAAGTGTTGTAATAAATAATACTGTATTAAAAATACAGAGATTTTAAAAATATGAGTATTGATAACTGCCAAAATTTTTTTTGAACAAACGATAGAATTATCGGGTCAAATTGTGAATATTCAGGTACACAGTTTGAATTTCTCGTATCATGATATCAGGATTTTAATAATAACTGCAACAAAAAAAAAGGACTGAAAAATTGGATGGATTTAGCACAGTGAGCATGTGAAAAATATTTACTCAAATGTGCAATTAGAATTTCTCGTTTCCTTATATTTTTGTACAGAAATATCAGAATAACCAAGAGGATATCAGCAATAACTGATAAAAAATAGTCAAGGAAAAAGTGAGTAATAAATGCATAAATTAAATTTTGCATGTAGTTATAATTATGTATAAAAATAAAGGAATTTAAAAAAATATGGAGAAAATTTAGAGCAATAGTAGCAAATAAAAAGATTTATGATTAGATTTATTAGATATAGATTCAGCACAGATTTATGATGGTATCAATGCATATTTAACGCATCAAAAAGTCATTGAATTGCGCAATCCAAATTTCGTATGTCTTAATAATAGAATTTTAAAAAACTATGAGAAAATCAATTGCAGTAACCGACTGCAAAAAAAATAAATTATAATAATCAATTTACGATGGTATCGAGAGTGCTGAAAATACTATTCGAAATCTCTGTGACATAAAATTATAAATATTATTTTAATCTAAATGTAGCCAAAAAAAAAGGGGGCAAATATATCACATTGATTAAATTCAGCTATTAAAAATGGGAATTTGCATAAAAATTTTTACTCATTAAAATATAAGTTTAAAAAAAGGAGGGAAATTTTTTTTTTCTGTCGAGGGATCTTTTAAATATTTGCCTTTTTGGTATTAGTTTTTAGATTATTAATATTTTACTTATGTGTTTGCCTCAGTAGCTCGCTCAGGAATAGTGTTTTTCTCTTACAAAAAGTTATGGCTCGTAAGAAGAACCTAAGAAGAATAAAAATTGGGCGGAATAAACATTTTGTTAACTAAATTTAAATTTTAAGTTTGCAGAATTCTGAGAAAATGTTGTCAAAATATAAATTACTGATAAGCAGAAGTGTGCAAATCAATAGTCCTGAGACTGCATGCTGCAGAGAAAATACATTCATTGAGTACAGTTTGCTCAAACTACAAAATTCTCCCCAGAGCTCCTTTAGCAGACACAATTCAGCATATAGTTTGTGATATGTTTGGCATAATACCCAGCAGAAGGAATTGAAGCTGACGTTCAGCATTTAACAGCTCCAGAATACCCATTAACCAACTACAAGTTTTCAAGGCAGAAAGGCTGAAGAATTCAGGTTTCCACCATCATAGTAGTTCATCTGCTGAGCATAACACTTTCGTTTATTACATGGTTAAGAGGGAACAGAGTATGAAACGGACACTCAGTCATATTTATCCAACAATCCAATTTACATAACATTGATGCCAACCACTTTATGTTTAATATTAATGATTAGAAACTTGAAAATGAAACTATAATCTAACTACTAACTTATCACATGCATAAGTGACTCCTCTGTTCTCTAATGAATCTCTGTCTCTACAATTAGCAAAAGAGATGTAAATAAAACCCTGAAGTTTAATGACAAATGCAGTTGTTCGATGCTTTTGAGTTGGACGATCAACAGAACTGATGTTTCTTTAAATTTTGAGATGCTTGGAGCTCTATGAATTTAAAGGCAAACCAAGGCAACATAACAAAAACTGCATACAAAATCTATGTAACTGATTAATATGTGATGAAAAAGAATTATAAAAACTTACATTCAGTGATAAAAAAATTAAGTAGAGTCAACGCAACAGTATGACCGCTAAACATATAATCACCACAAGTTCTAACTCCTTGGATTGACATTCCTCCACCAAGCCAAATGAGGAAAGCTGTGCGAATTTTTTCACTCCATTCACCAAAATGCTGAAATGTAATTTTTTTAAAATTGTTAGCAAATATGGTAAACAAAATTAAATAGCAAATACAGCTGATTAAATATATAGGTGGATAGATTTAATTGATATTAAAACTGATTAAAAATATTTTTTAAAAAAATGCATTAAAACAACATTGTTCATATGTTTTAGACATGCATTTACAGCTCTTACCTACTAAAGACAAATTTCATGAGCAATTATACCATAATTACACTTATCCTGATCGAAATATATCTTTAGGCTTTTTATAATCATTCAGCAAATATAAATAACACTATTTCACATGTTTAACCTTTCTAACTTATAAAAGTTATAAACTAGTAATAACAGAAACTAGATACCAAAATTCTTTAAATGACAACAAAATATACCTTTCTAGTTACGTAAGTGCAGGGATAGTAATCGAAATTCCAAGAAACTCCCCAACCTGTTCATCCTTACTTCCTGTTTGTTCACGAAATTCCTCTCTGTGTGCAAGTTCTACTGATAAAGAAAGCTTGGGCATTTGTGCTCTATTGTTAGAAATTCGAGAAACTGAGGTTTTGAAGAAAAAATTTCGACATGAACTTGGAAAATAATTGATTTTAGACAGCAAATTTTAGAAATTTTGTAGACAGAATTTTAGAAATTTTGAGAAATAGAGGTTCAAGATTAACAGGTTCAACTGCATTCGAAAGGTAATAAAGACCATGCTATCTGCAGCCTACGCAAGCTATGAAAATGAGTGCAACAGAATCAACGACTCAAGCAGGGCCAAGCCTAGGTTCAACTTTTCTTCTTATCTACTTTTGGCCTGCTGTTGAAATTACACTTCCGATTACACTAAGCTTGATAAACACACAAGCCTACATTGTCATTGTATTCGTACTGAATATGACTTATGCTATTTACCACTCAATTCATAAATCCATTTAACTTTAACTAAAGACATAAACTGAAGATAACACTCAAAACTTGGCAACCCTTGCACATTATTTATGTCCTGATATTAATTAATCTGATATTAATTAAATCTATTTGTGATATTAATTAAATCTATTTGTGGCAAGAACTTTTAAGACTTTATAGAAAAATCTAACGAATGATAAAATTAAATGCACATTTAATTACAAATTTTAATAATAAAACCTGTTCATGAGACATACGTTTGAAAATAATCATAATTGAAAATTTAATTTCTTAAAAATGTCTTAATATTAGGTAGACAAAAACTTTATATGATTAGAAAAAATAATCAATTTTGGATTTTTATTAAAATCAGAAATAGTTAGAAATAGTAAGAGAGCCATTTAAAAGGGGAAATCAATGTTAAATTTCAATTTCAGGAAGAAGAAAAATAAATAAAAATCTGAATACCTAATTAATCAAAATTACTATTTTGGTAATAGAATTTTTTTTCCAGACAAATACATTTCACATTGACTCCTTTTCATTATTCAGAAAAAAATTTCTAACCAAAAATAAATTTATTTTCTGAAGTCTTTAAAATGCTTTTTTGAAATCATATTCTTATAGACTGTTCTTGATTAGTATTGTGAACAATTAGTTTTAAAAAACTTATATAAATAAAACATAAGTTTATAAACAAATGTGAGGTACAAACATCCAAAATAAAAATTTCTTCAATAAAATTAAACACTATTTATCGCTTCTAACTGAGTTTTGAATGAATAGCTGAAACCTAGTACCTTTTTAAAAAACATAATAAAATATTTACAATTAAAAAGTGTATACTTTAAGCAAAATAAATTGATTCTACAAAAAAAAAAAATTACCCTTGCTTTGCATTCTAAGTGCTTTCCAGGCACAGAGAGGGATGTTATAATCATTGTAATACAACGTAATAAAAATACTGAGCCAAAAAGTGAAAACATTCTTCTTAAAAGAATGAACCTAAAATATAAAAAGAAGTCTATTAAAGTTCACGATAAACAAATTTTACGATAAATACATTTTGACATTACTCGAATGCTTAAGTAATACATATTTTTATTCATTCCTAAAACTGATAAGGTTCAACATAACAGAATTACACAAATTACACTATATAAATAAATTTGATTTTTTTTTTCTTTTTTGAAAAGCATTATTACAATTTATTTATTAACTTTTACCCTCTTCCATAATTGATTTAAAATATGATTAACAAATAAATAACAGTAAAAATCAAAAAATTTCCCAGAGTTGGGAAATTAAAATGAATTATAATTAACTATGAATTATATATAAAGCACAGACACCATCAAAAATTAACGTGTTAGAGAGCTATTCTTACATGTCACTTTTGAATGTCCCAATATTAATTTTGATTTTATTAATTTTAATTCAATTTGATATTCAGATTTCCAAATAAGATAGGGGTAATAATAATGAATAAAATTTTGCTGATCAATAAAAGTATGCATGAAGTACACTAAAGTATTTTAAAAAAAAAAGAAACAAAATGTTCATAAAAGTATACCTGTGTTTGTGGAAGAAAAGGATTGCCATCCAAATGAGGAAGAGTATGATTCCTGTTAATTCACACATACTAAACGCCCAAGGCATATATGGAATGTTGTCTAGGAATATATCAGGAAGTGGAGGGTAAGTTTGCATATCAGGAACTCTATCATGAACTATCACCATTACAATGGCCGTTAGCCATGTGACAGAGAAAAAATACACTAGTCCAACAGCTGTTTTCCACACTTCAGGTTTCAACTAAATAAAAATTACATTTAGTCAATTTAAAACAGCTTAAAAAATATGATTGCTACATAAAATTGCAATAACCATAACTAAACTAACAATGCAAGATACTGAAAAACAGACATCAGTACTAACTTAGCACCTCGGAAAAAAAATGCCACCATCATGCAGGGTTAGCATGATTTAAATCATGATTAAAATCACAATTTAAAACAATTTTTAAAATCTTTGATAGAAATCAATTGTGATGTTTTCAAGAAAATCAATGGTTTAAACCATGATTTTTTTTAAATAAATGAAGAAGTTGAATATATTTTCATAAATATATTCTGTAACTTTTTAAGTATGAATTCATTGGTAATGAAGATTTTATCTAAAAAAATAATGAAAGGGAATATTATTATATCCAAAAATAGAGTAATAAATAAAATAAAATAAAGAGACTAGAAGTGGATAGCATTATTTTTAACTGTTTAATTATAATTTGCTCTATTATAATTGTAAGAGAAAGAATTTTCTGATAATAAACATATTTCAGTTTTATCCATTTAGTTTTAGGTGTATTTGTAGACTTGAAGTGATTTTAAAGCATATTAAATACGTAGTTAGTGTTTACCAATATTGAAGACAGGCATATTTGCCCCAAAAGAACTTACAATATTTTTTTTTTCTTTAATATATTCTGATCTAAACTAATTGTCTCTTCATTGGAAATCTAAAGGATTAATTATCCTTTTCTATTTAAAATTTTAGAATGTTTAGCTTGAACAAAAATAACCCCGATTTATTTATTTAATGATTAGCTAATATTAATTTTTTAAACATTTTCGTTAGAAATATCTACTATTTTAGCTATATTATTGTTTTTAAATAATATTAAATATAATTAATATATTTTATCAGATGCTTTAGCTGGTAAATAAACAAAAATAAAAAAACTTGAATTCAAATAAAATTAAAAAAATACGATAAAATCAAATAAATCTTTTTTTTATTTTAAAAATGAACTTTACCAACTTCACTATCACAAGACATATTGTACGTTATTATAGAAACAAATCCATCCATTTTATGACAAATATGACAAGAAAATTTTTTTTCCCTTTGATGTAAACAAAATTGTTAAAGAATTTTTACTGCAGTATTTTTACTTAATAATATTCTTACAAATTTACCTTCCATGGCTTTATTTCATTACATTCATCTATTTGCGATAAAATAAAAAACTGCTTTCCATCACTTGTCACAAATTGAAATAAACTGGGGTTTTTTTTTAACCCTCTGAGCATTAAAACAGTAGGGGATCAGAGGGTATTACAAAATTACATTCTAACTGATTAAAAATATATGATAGATTCTGTTACTTGCAATTCTCTTAGAGGAAACAATTTTTTTTCCATGCTAATGAAAACATTGTGGTTTGTCAGTGATTTTTAGGCACAAATCCATGTCTTTCACTGATGCAAGCAATTTGTTATGATAAAAATAACAGTTGACATATAATCTTTAAAAAAAATCAGCTTGAACATTTTATCTTAAAATAAAAAAATTACTTATTGAAACATATACAAGCAATAGAAATTAGCATATTTTATTAATTTCAAAGTGAACATCGAAATGAACAAATATTTATAAAAAAAATCCTCTACAATAGTGCAAGAAAACTCCCATATTGAATTTGATTAATCAGCATACTGCCAAGTCGTTGAAAAAACAATATAAATGCTTTACGATAGATTTCAAAGAGGTAGCTTGAGAACCATTTTCTTTCTATTTTTAATGCTATGAACATTAAAATAAAATTTCAAAAATCTAATGAAACAAAATTTATTTATGAAAAATTACTCTTTGCAATAAGTAGCTTATCATACAAAAATGCCAAATATATAAAAATCTAAATATATGCAATAAAAGTAGCAGCATAGAACTACTTAATTTTATTGCATACATAAACAACACTGAAATTTACTTACCTACTACATATATATTTATAATATAAACGTAGTAATTAAATTATATTTTCCAAAACAAAACAGCCAAACTTTTTCTTTCAATAAACATCTATTGTTGACTATTGTTTAAGCAGTGATCGTTAAAGCTGTTAATAATTCATGCCCATGGAATTTGGAATTTGTGCTGTTGTTTAAAGTGATACTCTATTTGATATAGAATACAAAAATAATTACTTAATTTATTGAATTAAATTAAATTATTTAAATCAATATCTATTACCTCATTACACAAGTCCGACTTCGAAATTTTTTTAAAAAAAAGAAGTTAATAGTATGAAATTTTACAGTTTATTTAATGAAATGAAATTGATAAGGAAAACAAATAATAAAAAATCAATGCGCTCTATACAAGCATATTATTAAATCTCTTTTACTGACTGAATATATTTAGATTGAGATAATCAGAATTTTTAAAACTGAATTTTAAAAATAGGATCAAAATACAGAAATTCATTATAAAAAAAATATACTCATTCACAAGCATTTTTGATTGATAAAATTTATGATTTAAAATTAAGAAATTTTATAAAATAATTTAATTCCTCATAGGACATTTTAAAAAGAAAATAATTTTTGTTTAAATTCTTGTTTTGAAATTTGAAAATAAGAAAAATTTTGTTTACAAAATGGAATCTGTAATAAAATAAATTGAGTAAACTACCAATGAATATTAAAGTAAAGTTGTAGACCATTATATCTTTACTTGTAATTAAATATTATTTTTTATAAGTTATTTTTCATTATGTGCATTTGCTAATGTATAATACAAAAATACTCTATTAAACATGTTCAAATTAACAAACAAATGTGCATAAGAAATTAAATAAATTAAGAAAAATTTCTTTAGCTAAAAAGAAGGATTAAAGTAGATAAAATAACTGCTCTAAAAAAAAACTGGAAACTACAACATAAGACATTTAAAGTAATAGATGGGTAATATAGTATTTCATTTAACATAGTATAATAATGATATTTCTTAAATGGATCCGTTTATCATTTAATGATGAATTTAAAAAAAATAAAAATAAAAATAACTTTTTAAGTTATGTACAAAAATTATGATGCACTAACATAATATTTAGTATTTATAAAGAAACAATTTATATTTAACATATTTTTAAACAAAATATTATTGTAATAAATATACCTTGACAGTTATCATCAATGAAGGCTACAGAAGAGAATTTTGTAATTAATACAAAATAGATAATTAATGAATTTAAATAGAATGCATTACATTTAAAAAAAACTAAAATTGAAAAAGTATATATGTTTAATATATTAGTATAGATTATTTTTTACTTAAGACCTTTACAAATCGAATAAAAACATTTTTATAAGAAATTATAAAATGCTTTTTCTGATTTGCTTACACAAAAAGTTTTCACTACAAAATTAAAACACAGGTTTATTACAGAACCAATTCCCCAAAATATTTAAATAAAATGTTTTTAAGTAATTCTGGGATATCCTGCAATTACATAATTGTTGTTTCAACAATGATTGAAAAAAACTACAACCACGTTATTATAAACGTAGTTAAAAAAAACTTTTTATAAAATGTAATGATTATAAACTACTTTCAAAATATAAATCAATACTTTACAACTCGAAGGAGACAAACTTTTCTAGAGAACTTAAATTACAGACAGGTTAACAGCGGTTTTGAATTAATAAAAAAATAGTTGATTTAAAAATTAGAAATCATTAAGAAACATTTATTCCTATTTACAATAGCCAGTTTGTTCTAAACCATTTTTCACAGATTTGTTCTCTTAACCTTCAATTTTTTATATATTTTCCAACAGAGACTATTTAATCCAAATAAAACTAGAAAATTTTTGTAATTTGTGATTTTGTTAAGCAGGTAATGCTCCTTTATTTGCTATACGAAATAAAATACATCGGAAATTACAGTGCATAATAAGTTCATTTCTATTTTTATAACAAACATGTGTTCTTCATGAGTGAATATATGCATTTGAATGTAGTGCCAAAGTGATATATTAGGAATTATTCATGATGGATAGTTTACATATTAGGTATTAAAAATAATGGGAAAAAATTGCTGTTTAGGAACACGCTCACATTCCTATCGCATCTATTGACAGACCAGCAATTGAAAAACTAGCAACGTTTGAACTTAGTTTCCTTACTAAGCTATAAAAGTAGTAGTCAGAAATTGCATGAAGTAGTTTGTATCATATTACTCACTACGCTATTTATTTTCCTGAATAAAGCATTGCACTACAACTTGCAGTACACTACTTCTGACTATTGTGATTCTGCAATCACATTCTCCTTTTTGCAATCCTCACCCTTTTATCTTTAAAGTATAGTATCTTAACCATTTCAATATAGTTCTTTTATTTTTTCGATATAGCATCTAAAATTTATAACAGCTAAATAATATATACCTTTGTTTGTATCATAAACTAACATGAAATAATCCAAGAACATTATCTATCTTAACTGTTGAGTGAAGAATAAAAAATTAAATTTACATCAAAAATTCAAATCCTATTTTAGTTGTGAGCCATTTCATTTTTGCTGACCAGATCTAACAATGTCAGCAAAGTGAAAAAAACATATTCTGCACAACCTAACAATAATAATAAATTATTATTTTATAACCTAATCAGGGGTGATCGTGACATAAAGTGAAAAACTCTGAAAATTATGTGTGCAAAAAATTTATAGCACGATATCAATTTGTATACCATACATGTTTCGTATTCAACAGTTTTTCAAACAAGTTTTATAATTAAATTACCTACTAATGATAAACATCACACCTTTATAGTAACTAATTTAAGAAATGTTGGATGCTGATAGTGCGATGTTGGATTTTTAGGATTGTGTGAATATGAACCGTGATATTGGATTTTAAAATCGTGTGAGTATGAATTGCAACATCGGATTTTAAAATCACATGCATACGAATCACGATGTACGAATTTTAAACTACATGAATACAAATTGCAGGGTGTAATTTTTAAATTTAAAATACGAGAATCTATGTTTTATATTCAAACTGCGTGGAGGAAGAAATAGCGATATTAGCGGATTCCAACAGTTTCAAATCATTCAAAATGACGGAAATCGTCGAAACCAAACGAATCAATTGGCTGATTTCTGCCCATTAGCAGAAGAATCATGTGCATGTAGGCCTCTCATTAGCGGATTAGCGAAGTTTTTAATTAGTGAAAGTCCGAGAACCAATGGTCTTTACAAAAATGTGAATTCCACAATATTACCAGAAAAATCAAATGCCCTGCTTTTAATTTTTAAACTCAGAAGGATAATGATAAAAACCCGGAATTCTGGGATACTCCCGGACTGCAATCACCCTTGCTTAATAAAGAATATACTGTGTCATTCAATAAAAAACAGCCTTAGCAAAAAAAATGCTATCAGTAAAGTGAATTTTTATCACATAGCTCTCATAATTTTCCATTTGTCTTTGTCGTCATATGTAAAATATACATCCAAAACATAGAAAACTTTACAAAAAGACCAAGTAACTCAGCATACAGCACAATGGCAAAGCCTTCGGCTATTATGGACTAAGGAAGGAAGTAGTTTTAAAATTAGCAAACATAGTTTTGGATGAAAAGCTTTTACACTTCATAAACATAATGAAAACATGTTTATGAGGTGTAATATGAAGTTCAAAAAATTTACAAAAAACTTTTAAATTTAATTATATGTAAAACTGATATTAACAGAATATAATAAATCAGAATACCTGTCTATGCGAACCAGAATATTCTCCTTCATCCTCACTAAACTCACTGGCAATCGTATTTAAATCGGATGAGTCACTAGCTTCTCGTCTATGTCTTCGCCTGCGTAGTTTTGTACCATTGTGACAGTTGCGATGGGAGCTAATATCATCACCCGACGGTCTCCAATGAGGAAGAACTACAGGATTTAGCATCTGCAATTCATGCAAGCAAATTGCTAAACGCTTGATATCACCTAAAACCTAGAGTGCCAAATAAATTTTGAACACATTTTATTTACATATGAAAACAATACCAAGAAATAAAATTGAAATGATTACTAAGTAAACCCTTTGAATCTACTATAATAAAATTATCATATATTATCTTATATAATTTTATATTATCATATAAATTATTTTACATAATTTTTATTGTTAAATATAGATTCTTTATTAAAAGTTTAATCATAAAAATATCACGTCGAAAAGAAACATATAATGAAACCCCAAGAATGACTACCTCTAATATATATAACGGGGGAAATTTTCGTATTAGTACTTGAGCAACTGAGCAATAGCCCATGAAAAACCAAAAGTAAAAATCATACATAAGTCAGGCTTGAATAATTAATTATACAGTCACCCCTATATATTTTCTAAAATTGAAAGCACAAAATTCGGGCACTTGTACATTAGCAATAGGTGAAACAGTGATTGATCTTATATATCCCATAAAAAGCAACCCCATAGAAAACAACCTTTGACCTATAGTTACTCTCAATATTCTACTAAAACAAGACACAAATATTTTGCTCGTTAAGAGGTGGCTACGAACATAAAAAAACATTGCATTTATTTCAAGAATTTTCCACTATAATATAAATTACAAATACATCTAAAAGAAGTCAAATGCAATTAATCGGATGGGATTATTAGCATAATTAAGATAATTATCGTAATCTATTAACTATACCAAAAATAAAAATTATCACATTTTTGCCCCAACTTGGCAGAGGCAATGTGAGAAACTGAAAAAATCATCATATAAAGGGATAAACTTGAAGCCATTCCCAGACAAACCACTATATATATAAAAGACATTTGGCACCTACGTATAAGGGTATAGTTTGTCTATGGTAAGAACTCCCCCCACCACAAAGTCTGGAACAGTCTGCTGCAATAGAAACAAGAATAGCGCATTTCAGGGTGGATAGCTTCTCTTCCCATTTGTGCTAACGCAATAGACTGGGGAAAAAAATATTTACTTTTTTTGCCGACCTCACACCCCTACTTGAAATAGTTATACCTCATTACCGTAGTCACTGACAAATGATTAGGGGAGTTCTTATTTTAGACAAACTATAGTAGATGCAAATAGGTACTGATACAAAATTATCTGCCAGTTGATAAAAATTTCTTACCCTCATGGATAAAGGAGGAGACTTCAAATCATTTTCTGACAAAGTAAGTAGAGCTTTACCATCAATGCGATGAGTGGCTGAAAACAAAGTGATATATTCAGAAAATCCATTTTCTTCCAGCCACTGACTGACATCACTGACTGTCCATAAATGCACTTGATCCAGGTTATCAATCCCCATACCACACTAAATAAGATATGCAATTATGAAAACTTTAGTTATCAGTTTCAAATAAAGGTAAGCGCTTACTTATTATCCCATCGATCACTTTTGCCAAAATTGGAAGCGGCCACTAAACATTCTTTTAGCACCAATATTGAAATACCATTAATTACAACAGCAGTACTCTGCCGTACATTTTATTTTCATTGGTAAAGACAAATTGAGGTGTATTTATTTTTCTTATAAAAATTTACAATTGCTTAAAAACAGATGAAAATTTAAATTTTCTTTGGTAAAAGGTTATAATAGGATGTCTTTCTTATTTAAGCAAGTTTTTACGTTCTTACAGGAAACAGGGAAAATGACTTCAGAGTGAGATATTTTATTAATAAGAAAAAGCAATAAAAATAATAGGAAAATGGCAGAATTAATGTATAATAAAAGTTCCAAGTGCAGTGCTTTAATCACAGAAACCCCCCTATTCTAAATTTTAACCTCTTCTTTATAATCCATTACCAAGTGAATATAAATTTGAAAGCCAATAAAATGAATTTAGCATGGTTTTGGCAATAATGGTCAACGGATTAATAAGTCCGTACCAAAATAAAACAGAGAGGAAACCTTAGTACTATTTGTTTTGATTTTTTATTGTGAAGAAGAGTTTTGACTGTCCTCAGAAAAGACACAATTTATTGAATAAAGGAATATTTAAGTATGTGAGGAACAAAACATATATTCTAGTTAAAAGCAAGGAAGACAAAAATACTAACAAGGTCATAAATTTCAATTTGATCAACGAATTTCAAAAAAATTTATATATGTAGTAAATATTATCATTAGTTCCTCAACTCAAGCATTAACATATTTTAATATTTCGAGAAAATATCTTTATAACTGTGTTGGAATCTCCTGTTGGTATCAGTAATGAGTCATATAATAGTCATGATTTATTTGAAGAAAAGTTTTCTTTGGGAAGAACCCCATCATATGTGATCATTCAACCAATTAAGATAATTTTTGGGAGATATCTCAAAATAAACTCATTTTGAAATTTAAACTAGAAAGAGAATAAATCAAACTTTGAATTAATATAAGAAGAAATTTAAAATCCCGATTTTTAATAGAAGTATTCTAAAAGAATTCAAAATTTTCTTCCTTTTATTTAAAATTGATAAAATAATTCCTCATCAACAGGATATATAATAATTCATTATGCAAAGTTAAAACAAATTTTAAATGAAAGTCACGGTATTGTCAGAAAATTTCTTTTATTTTCTACGCAATTTTTCCACGAATACTAATACCAAAGTAGAGAATGACTAATTATACAAATATTCAGATTACTTTACTTGATGTAAACACACGTTCTTGTTCCATTTATTTTGAAAATTTCTTGCCTTGATAACAGATGTTTTAAAAAAAAGTGCAGACGAAATTTCATATACAATTTTTTCAACTTTTGAGTTTAATACGTCCTGCTACAAACCCTTTCACTTCTTCAAACTTTTACAAACTACAACGGGTAAAACCTTCTAGCGAACACAATCGGCATTATTCCTTTTCGAGCAACCAATGTCAAATCGATATTAAATATTAATTGATTATTTTTAATCGATGTTTTCCTAAATAATTCTTATTATTTATTTCTTGGTTTTGGATTTAGTTCTTTTATGTATTTTTTTATTTTTTGTTTCTTGAAAATTCAACAGTATCCATTCTTTAGCACTCTTTATCAAATTACAATAATTAATTTTTTAGATCTTCCCATTTTTTTAACCGTAACTTAGTCGAGAACTAAGGAGAAGAAAGGACTTTTTAAATTGGAAAGACAAGTCAGTTTTTATTTAATTTAAAGATATTTTTCTTAGTATTGTGTGCTATTATTTATTACTGATAAATAGTAAACTTTTCTACTTATTTCTATTGAAACTTTTATCACTCTCGCTGTTTCAATTAATGTTTATTTTAATTACATATTTGTGTTCAATGGTTATGATTCTCATCCGCAATTTTGATTAAACCTTTTTAAAATAAAATATACGACCTCTATTTTTGATTATCAATCGAGTATCATAATAGTAGCATCAAAAAGCTTTGATATTCATCTTCAAATATATAAGAATATTGCCATTAATGCTAGTTTTATTATAAGCATTGGAGGTTGATACTATCTATAAAGAAATATTTCACATTAATATTACGTTGCCCTTTTCAACAAAACATACTTTTACACTTTAAAGTGTTGCTGAAGTATTTATTAGATTTAATTTCAGAATATTAAGTGAATATACCAGAAGTGCATGCTGGGAACTCTATAATTGTTTTATATATAAATATTGCTATTCATCTTTTGAAAGAATCCTCTTTAATATGAAGATTCTTAAAATGATCCTTTGAAATTCTGCATTGTGCTCATTTTCACTATTATACTGGAAAATGTAAATTCTTCCTTTATTATACTTTATTTAAAAATAAAATATTCAAAATAGGGTGTAACCTGCTTGTGTCATATTTACGTATTTCATTTTTGATTTAAGCTAAAATATAAGTATTGCAAAATTAATCAATATAAAATTAACTAGTAGTACTAGTATAATTAACATTAAACTAGTAGTTCCAGTTTAATTAATGTTAATTTTTCAGTTCAAAAATCGTGTTAGAAATGGAATTCCAAATTTTAGAAATTTTTATCATCATTTTCAACTAAATTGCAGCATATGAAACCTAATTTATGCTTGTTGTGGTTTAGTTATTGTGTTGAGTAGTATGTGTTTCCACAGGAATTCGACACTCAATATTTTTACAATACTAAAATTTTAAATTGTACATTTAAGATATCGTTTTTTGACATGCTTTGTCTGTACTGATTTCTTCGAAAAACTAGTGGTTTTTTTATCATATTTTTCAATAATTATTATGCTTTCTACCAATTTTGTAAATCCTCCATTTTTTTCATACCATATTATGAGATATTAGTTACAATCATGATCATGCATTTAAATAAACCATTTTTGACTTTTTTTTTTTTAGCAGTTTTCATCTAAGCTATTTTTCACTGGTTATTGCCATAAATTTCCATATATATTCAAAAGCTTCATGTCATAGCAAAATTATTGGAACAAGCAAAATTTGAAAATTGGAAGAATGTGCATTTTTAATTTGTGTGCAATTCTGTTTTTAATTTTTTGTTTCGTAAATGTTTTTTTTATAAAAAAAATCATATATAAAAACTCTTATTATTCACTAAATATAAATGCCCTTGAACTACATTCACAACAAAATGTTGAATCTCATTTTGATACATGCTAGTTTTTTTTATTGTTTAAACATATCATAAAATTAACTTTCGTATTATGTCATGTAATAAAAAAATATTAATTTTTAACATTCTTTATATTTTCAATTAATGTGTTTATTTTATAGGAATATTTTTTATAAAAGTATCAGTTTTGCCATTTTTAACTTTAAATGAATTCTAATATTTAATTTCATGTAAATGTACTATTCAATTGACTGATACAAAGAATTTAGTGTTTAAAACACTGTTGTTTATAAATAGCTGTAAAAATTTGCTTTAACATTTCTAAGTATTTTATGGTATATACACCCTTGATCTAAACTGTCAAGAACTTGCCAAACCTAAATGAAACATGAAATTTTGCATATTTGTAAAAATAATTAAACAACTTAATATCAAAATGGTATTCATCTGGGAGTTATTTTTTATAAAAGTTGAAGTATTTCATGTCTTGTTATGTTACAGTTGTCAAGCTTTTTGCAACTGACACTATATTTTCTAATTGACATATATTTCATTTTAATTTGAATCTTTTATCTATTCCATTTTTATAAATTTAGATTATACTCCACAAAAAGAAAATAATGGCCCCTCCAAGTTTTTCTGATCTGGGAAAGCAGGCTAGAGATGTATTTAATAAAAATTATAGTAAGTACTAAGCTTTAAAAATATAATATTAAAAACTGTTTTTTCTCTCTCTATTATTTACTCAGCATTTTTAATGCAATGATTTCTTTTTTAGATTATAGTTTTGTTAAACTTGATTGTAAAACCAAAACCAGTGGAGGGATGGATTTTAGTGTGAGTGGTTCTTCAAATATTGAAACTGGAAAAGTGGTTTCATCACTTGAATCTAAATACAAAGTGCCAGAATATGGTAATATTATTATTTTATAAAAAGGCATAATTGAAAAGATTGAAGTTGCTTTTGCTAAAATGAACTTTTTTTTCTTTCTTTTTTTTGGATCCTTGCAAGAGTGACATAAAATAGTTGATATAAATCAATTGATTTTTTCTTTTTAAAACTAAAAATATTTGTTGAATTGAATTTGTATATACTGATTTTAAAAAAATCATAGATTTAAGTAGAGAATATATTTTTTAAGTCTGATTTCATTATTGACGAGTTTTATACAGAGAAATAATACCTAAATTATCTTTTATGTTTAAAATAAATTTTAAAAAAAAAATTTGACAAGGGAAGATAAAAGTTTGGTAAACATTGAAAATTATATAATTTACTATTAATTGTATTCAAAAGAATGTACTGTTTAAAATTCGTATATATTTCAATTATATCTCTTTCTTTTTTATGTTTATTTAAATTAAACACAAGTACCTTTAAAATTGATAAAATATATGATTTGTGTATATTAATAATGAATATAGACTTGTTCTGCCAAGTATATTTTACAATAATTGGTTTGTTACTAGTAGACTTTTATAAGAGTGGTAAATGTAAAAATATTTAAAAATATAGTCCTTTTTTTAAAAATTAAAAAAAAAAATGAATTTTGTTAACTCTTGGGTGACAAAAGATGTGATGTTAAAGGATAAAATTTTAACAAAATTTCTCTTTCACTCTGAGCATGTGTTTATCCTGTTATATTCACTTTTTTTATTTCAATTTAAAAAATAATATAAATTCATGAAAAATGGGGAAAAAACTTAAATCAATTAAATACATTTATTTGTACTTAGTATTTGTTCTTAGTAGTTTATTTTAGTGCAATAAGACAATATTATGTGCCTCAATAATGAAACTACATTTTGTGTTTTACAGTAATACCTTTAAATTACACTGCATATAATTTAATTAAATTTATGTTTTATTACAACAATAATTTTGATTAACATTCTTATAACTTACAGGCTTAACAATGAGGGAGAAATGGAGTACTGACAATGTGCTTTTAACTGAAATTTCTGTTGAAGACAAACCAATTAAGGGATGCAAGCTCTCAGTTGATGGTAGTTTAGTTCCTCTTACTGGGTAAGTTAAACTCGTTGGGTTCCACACTTGTGCTAAATCCAGGGTATCTGTGCATCTGGAAAGCCATTGAAAATTGGGAAAAGTCATGGATTTTGACCATAAACAAAAATTAATCATGGAAAGTTGTGATTTTTTGTGATAAATACTAAAAATTCCTGGAAACTCGCAGTTCATCATGGATTTTTGGCTATTGGAGCCCTTTATAATGAGGTGGAATTTGAAAATCCCACATCACAATTTGTATCGCATGAAGAACATTTGGGGGCCCCGCAGTTTTATATGTAATTACATTAAAATTATATTTGTGATATTGAAGTGATAAATTAACTCACGTCAAATGTATTAGGCCTGATAAATATTAAAAATTTTAGTAAAACCTAATTTTAAAAATAATTTTATTTTGAAGTTTTTTGTTTAATCTTCAAAATATTTTTTTTATTTTGATAAATATATATGTATATATAGTAATTTGATAGTGCATGGAATGATGTTGATATTTTTGTATATTTAAAATTAGAAAATGCATTTAAAAATATTTAATAATGCCTTTTAAGATCAATTCTATAAATTAACATAATCTACAGAATTGACTTTAAAAGGCATTATTAAATATTTTTACATCCATTTTCTAATTTGTATGTTTGTTACCACATTTTTTTTTTATCGTGTATAATAGTTTAGTCCTTTTTTTTTTATTGCTTTGGTTTAATCTGACTAATTAAAGTGTGCAAAGCATTGCTCAGATAAAACAATTTTTTTTTTGTTTGTTTGATATGGATGTATTAAGAGCTGACACAAAAGTGAAATTCCTGTACAAAATTGAGCTCTAATTTTCTTTTAAAAGGGTTGTTTCCTTTTCAAAAAATGTATTACAATGCCAAGTTTACCCAGATCTATTTCCTTTTATGTTATTGGGCATTTAAATAATCAATTTCTGATACAATTTATTCACACACATTTCATTGTAATTCTAAATTATTTTTCCATCGTTTTTTCGACTGTCAGCACCATGCATATGCATGAGATTTTTACAATCCTGATTTTGCAACATAAAAAATTCGAAAAATAAACGAAAATGCAAATTTTTAAACTGCTCACAGTTTGTGATTTAGTTTAAAATATTTTATTGAAGGGATTATTTTAGGGAAAAAAATATTTACTATTAACATTCATAAATATATTTTTTTTATGTGTTGATGAGTAAAAATTTTATTTATTAGATAAAAAATTTATCTTTTTAAATTTTGCAAGTGCTTCTTTTGTGCACAAAAATGATGATCTTCTATGTACAAAAAATTTTTTAAAAAATTATACAAGGAAAAAAAAAATATCAGAAATTTTTTTTTTACAGCATTCATAATTTCATCTTCCAGCAAGAATGTCTGCAAGTGGCCTTTTATTCAAAAAGGTTGTGCACCTCTAGTCTAAAAATTATGTAGAGACCAAAACAAATATTCTGGACAAACCATTTCTTGCTTCCAGTGTTTAATGCACCTCAAAAAAGGATAATTTTCTGGATGTTTGAAAAGCGAGTTACATGTGTCAATGTGACGGCCTAACTTTCTTTTACTAAGAACCTAAGCAATCTCTATATCTCTTTATTGTTTCTTTATCAGCTTTAACTGGCCTTAGGTGCATCTTCATGACCGGATAGAGATTTTGGAAAACAGTTTTGGCTCTGATGTTCTGTCAATACATATTTTCCAGACACATGGGATACATTTTTTCTGAACAGCATTTTTACCTTTTCAATAAGGAACAGTAAAATATGTTGAAAATTCAGCATTTAACTCTCCATATTTAAAAAAGCACCAACCATAAACTAATGTGTAGATTTGTTCAAGTTCTTTCATGAACAAGCCATGATATCTGCTTTAAAAATATATTATGATCTTGCAGCTTAAACTTAGCTGGGAAAGTTCTGTGTTGGAAAAAAACTAAATTAATTTCTAAGCAACCCTATAGTATAGGAATATAATCTATTCATTTTAAATTATCATGGGAAGCATTATTATATTCAAAAGTAGTCCACCTTCAGCCATTTTTTAGTACAAAAAAATAAAGATAACAAAACATAAAAAGTTGTAGTTTGAACTAACCTTAACAGTTTTAATTAAAATTTTGCTTAAAATGCAAGAGAGCTTTCAAGTATTTGTGTTTTTTATTTATTTATTTTACATTAGTTTGAAAATATTCTGATTTGTAGACCTTGAAAAAAGTATATCCTCTAAATGAATGTTTTATTTTTTCAGGAAGAAGTCTGCAACTGTTAAAAGTGCTGCAAAACTTGAAAACCTTAACCTTAATGTAGATTTGGATGTTGATATGAAAACTCCTGTGTGGCATGTTGCAGCTGTGATGGGGTTTGTTTTAATTTGATCTTTTCTTTACTATTTTTATTATTTTTCTGTATTTATTTTTGATTTACTTAATGTTAGCATAGATTTGTTTATATCAAGAGATATTAAAAAATTGAATAGTGCCCTAGGTGAAGAAGAAACTATTTCATGTATTGTGACACCTAAAAACTTATAATTAATCTATATTTTCTCTGTGTGTCCAGCGATAGGGAAAAGCGGGAATTATCGGACATTGAGTTATCACTTTTTTAACACATGCTACTTTTTTCCCCTGGCGAACTTCACATCATTTTTCAGTTGTTATTTATAATTTTTTTAGCTCTCTCCAACTTACGATTCAACTCAAATTATCACTTTTTAACGCATTTCAATTCCGATATTTTTAATACAAAGTTAGCAAACTTAGTTATCTATTTCTTCCACACTCAATTTGTGACAATTCTATCTCAAATCCGTGTTAAATTATAATTTTTCAACCATTTTAACATCGTATTTAAAATCTCAATATTTTTTTTACGTAATTAGGACGTTAGTTTTCAAAATAATAATTTGAATACCATTTTATGGAATATGCTAATTTAACCACAGAATTATTAAGTTAAACTATCTCTTCAAAAGTAAGATTTTTTTTAATGATAAAAATGAAAACTTAAAATATTATTTATTTATTTTTTTTAAAGCGATGCAGATTTTTGTGATTGATGCTCATTTTAAGGGAGATATAATGCTCTTTTGTATTTCTAGTACCTTGCCCTTTTTAAGGTCTAGAATGGAACCTGCCTTATTTTCAAATATATAGTGTTTATTTTATAATATTAATCTGCCCATTAATATTTTATTTTAATCTGATTGAATTACATATTTTAAATGATAAAGTATTTTTTTATTTTTTAATAAAATTCGATATTAAATATCTACGAAATAGATGGAAAATCTTGGATTTATAGGTAAAAGTCAGGGAATTTGAAAATGCCTTCTCACTGGACACCCTAATATTAATTATTTTGACTTTTCGTAATCGGTGATTATGGTATAACTAAGTTTACTTTATATTATTGCTTACCTGTGACACCTAAGCATATTGTAAAATGTTAACTTGAAATTAATATTAAGGGAACTTGAAATTAATTTCTTAATTGAAATTAATTTTCCTTTTGATATTTGCAATACTCTATTAATTTGCATAAAAGAAAATTACTGTAACAAGAATAACATATGAGTTATTACAATGTTAAATCGATCAGTAATGCAATATTAAATCAAATAACCATTTGCTGATAAATCTGTTGCCTGAAACTGATGAAATTGAACCAGAATTTAGAGGAAAAAAATCGTAAGTAAGCAATTGTTTTCCCACTTTTTTTAAATATTGACTTATCACTAGTTTTCAGTCATATTTTCAAGATCTTTTTATGTTCCTTTTTTTTTTCTCTATCTATATTAAAATTGTTACCATAAGAGATAATATGAATAATTAATATTCCATTAATTTTAATTCGTTAGTGATGAACTTTTACATTTGAGTGAATGAATTTTTAACTGTATTAACAATTTATACCTTGGCATTTATTTAAGTCTCAAATATGTAAACAAAAAACCTTTGTTTCTATTAGAAAATAATCTCTTCCTGTCTTTTTATGTAATTTATTGTTCTTTTTTAATAGTTATTTATATTTATTTAAACTTCTATTACCATGGCTGCCAACTTTTGTGATATTTGCTAAAGAATAGTCAGCGTCGCTGTTGGAAAGCATGTTAGCAATTTGTTTTTAAATTTTGTCAAGACTTTTTCATAAATAAGGCATAAATTTCAGAGTTTTTATGCATGCTTTTTAAATTATTTATGTTGTGGTGGATTAATATAATATAATTATAAATTAAGTTTTTCAAACTCAGAGTAATATATTAGAGCATAAATTTCGGCTACCACTTGAAAATATTGCTCATAAAATTCATAAAAATTGGCAAGCATGTATTACTGTAAGAATATGCAATTAATTATCTTAATGACACATCCAAGCCATATTATTTTATCAATCATTAAGTGTAACAATATGAAGAAGTTAGATGCACAAAATCAATAAACTTTCTTAATACATTCAATATTGCATGCATTTTATTTCATTATAATATCAGAATTCTTTGTGAGGAATTTTTGGATAAATAATAATTTGCCAAAGGTTTTGTTGTTTAAACATAAACTATCATCATTTAAGTCATTTCTATGACTGAAATGCTGTAATTTTTATTTCTTTTGCTAAATTGAATCTAAGTTTGTAATTTTGTTTGTCTTGTTACTTGTTTGTCCTCTTACTCCTCATTTAAACTTGTATGTGTCATGCAACAAATTCTAAGCAAAGCAAAAAAAAAATTGGGAATTAAAGGCGTGTCTATTTTTTATAAGTGGTGGTAGGTTTATTGCATTAGATTATACTGCTAATGAAAAGAAAAATAATAAAAGAAAATCTCCCAAACATCTTTTTAGAACATCTATTTTCTCAAAAAAGGATCAGCCATTATCTATTTTAATTGCCAATATTCATTGAATAGGTAATAGTTCAATATTTTAATTCACACTTTGCTGACTCCTTAAAGGGGTCTATCTCTTAAAATATAGCTGTTACAAAAGGCATAGTCACTATCTTAGATTTTGACATGATTTGCTAATTTGGCATCCCCAGTAGCAAAATTTGTAGTTAATTTGCATAGCTGTATTGTTGAATTCAAATTAGTCAGATAGTATTATTATAAGAATTCAGCTCAGTCTAACAGACAAATAGTAAAATTTACAAGGATTTTTAAACATGCATTAAAACTTTGACACTTAAGCTTAATTTGATTAAACAAGGAAGATACTAAAAAAAGTTTTCTTTACTTTTTGTTCTTTGTTGTATTCTCTTAACCCAGCTTTATAATTTTGATTTGAAACAAATTTAGAAATGTTTTAAAAAGGAGTCTATAAGTTTTCTCTTTTTTTAAAAAATGATGGGAAATGAAGAAAAATCTGCAGATTCTGATAATCTGCTGTGCTGGAGGGTTTCTGGTACAGAGTTAAATTGTATCCATTTAATATGAATGTTTTAAATATTAATCTATACAGTTTGATGTTTTTTATTAATATAATGTTAATGTTGTATTACTTTTTATATTTTAGCCTTCGTGGTTGGCTTGTTGGAGGTCAAGCTTCAGTTAATGCCTGCAAAGGAAATATATTGAGAAATACCTTTGCTGTTGGATATGCCACAGATGACTTTGTTCTACATACTAACGTGTGAGTTGAACATTGAAGCTATAATATCTTTTTTTTTTCTTTTCTTATTTATTTAAATAGCACCCCTAATGGTGGAAAAACATTCTGATTTGTTTCACATAAATTGTTTTGTGTTACAGTTGACTAGTTATATAACTTTTATTGGTCCCTACAATTTGTTTTATTTGAATATTTAAAAGTATGCGGAAATTAATTTAATGTATGCAGAATTTAATTCATTCAAGGTTGCCATTCCACAGGAGGAATAGGGAAAACCTAGAAAATACAGGGAATTAACAAATCATCTAAAATAATAGGGAGTTTTGAATTTTCCTTATAAACTGGGAAAATACAGGGAATTTTTATTTTCTTCTTTTACAAAATATTGACCTCTCAAAGTGCAAATTATGGATTATTTAAAGATAGTTCAACTATGCTATTTATTTTATGTATGTTGAACTGTTTTTTATTTCTTTAAATTTTTTCAGTTATTAAAACTAGCATTAATTATCCTAATATAGCTCACACATTTGTGCAGTGATTTTGTTTCCTCTTAATAAATTTTATATAATATATACAGGGAACTTTTTTTCCAGATTTGAGAGGCAACCCTGTCATTTGAATGAGTTATAATAAATCATCATCAATAGCTCGACAGCCCAGGGTGGGCCTTCTCAAGAAGTTTTTTACAGACCAACTTTTTTTTTGCTAGTGTTTTCCAATTTTTAGTTTTTAAGATTAAAAGGTCTTTCTCTAGGCCATCAATCCATCTCAAATTTGGCCTGCCTCTTTTTCGTGTGCCAACTGTAGTTATAATAAATAGTGTATATAACTAGTAAAAAATAATAGTCTCCCCCCTGATCTAACGTTTTGATAGATGACAGATCTTCTTATAACCTACAAAACATGCTAGATTAATTTTTAAATAATGCTTGGAAAGTTTGCCATCTTCCATTTTCATCTTGTGCAAAGAAGGTTTTTGTTTTCACATCAGTCTTAGTAGTTAATAGATAGTAGATAATTTTTAAATAATGCTTGGAAAGTTTGCCATCTTCCATTTTCATCTTGTGCAAAGAAGGTTTTTGTTTTCACATCAGTCTTAGTAGTATAATTGATTTGATTTGAATCTTCACTTTTAAAATCTTTCTCATTACATATGCAAAATTTCACGATATGTTTATTCAGAAAATATTTTATATATATATATATCTTAAAGGTATAACCAATGTAGTTTAGTCTAAATCAGAATTTACAGGTTTATTAAATCTAAAAACATCAAAAAGATTTATTTTTAACCCAACTCTGAAACCCATTTAACTCGTTAAGTTGAACACTTAATCTCAAATACCAAAAATATTTTTATATTTGCTAATGCAAAAGAAATCTAACCACCTGTCTATGTGTTGACCATTTAAATAAATTAAATTTGGCAGGATGAAATTTAATAATCTAATGTTCTTTTGTTGCCAAAGATAATTTGACTGTTCATATCATTTTTTTGTCTTTATTTTAGACATTTGAAATATATTAAATTATCCTTGTAGTTTTTAAAACTCTCAAAAGTAGATACTGTCCCTTCTACATTTTAAAAAGATTTTCTCTCTCTTTTTTTTAAACTCCCTTTCACTCCCAAAAGGTTAATATTTTTTATAGCTTCTAGATTTTAAAAAAAATTTTCAATGATAGACATTTTGTATAAAGATAAATTTACTAAGCATATTTTAATCATCTGTTATTTACAATTATTTTACTTACAAGCTTTCATTAAACATTCAAATTCTCAGTAAAAACCCACAGGTCAGGGAGAATGGGAGGATATTTTAGGATTCTATTAAATTTTATTTAATAAAATCCAGGGAATATTGAATTTTTTTTTAACGAAAACTTAAAAAATTCCTATATGATACCTGGAAAAATAACCAATCTAAGAGTTGTCAGCAGCCGTAATCAGTTAATGAGATTTGAATTGAATAATTCTAACATCTGTTACAATTATTTGTCCCTTTTTAGTGAAACTGCCATGCTCATTTAATTATATATATTTATTTCGCTAACGTAATATAGTATTTGGCATTTAAGTATTAAGAATAAAAATTTTTGATGAAAAATTGCTGAGTACCGAATAAATATGGTCTGGATTTCCATTGAAATTTGCTTAATATACCTAAAAAAATCAGGGATTTTTTTTTCTTTCTTTCTTTTTTCTGAAGTTGAGTGGGAACCCTGTAAAGAGTGTTAAGAAATTACATTTAGAGAAGATCTTTCATATGTATTGATACGCAATATTTTAACAGAACTTTACAGGTATTATGAATGCTTATTATTAAAATATGCTCTGGAAAATTATTTATTTCATTTGAATTTTTTTTGGGATGGGGGATATTGTTTCTTTTTTTTATAATTTACTAATGTAAAACTTTCTAATTTTTTTATATTGAAATGCAGTGTCATATACTATATTTATTAAAAAAAATTTTTTTTTAATAACTCATAGAAATGATGGGCAAGAGTTTGGTGGATCAGTTTACCAAAAAGTAAATGAAAATCTAGAAACTGGAGTTCAGCTAGCTTGGTCATCTGGCAATAATGCCACTTCCTTTGGCCTAGGATGTGTTTACAGCATTGATAAAGACACTTCTTTAAGGGTATGCTTATTAATTTAGATACTTTTTCTGTGCTTTATTGTTTTTACATTTATAAGAGATTAGTTTTCTTGAATTCAAATTTTCTTATAAACAAGAGTTAGTGCTACAGAAAAGGGTTTTTTAAAGAGAGAAAAGAAGAATTTAAAAATTCTCTAAGTACTTAATACAATTTTTTAGGTTTCATTTCATCCTTATAGAGAAAACTACGATTGTATATCCCATGTCTTTTGCTACTTAGTTTTTAAATTTATAGTTCAATAAATATATACATGTTAATGACTATTATTGTTTTTAAACAAAAATATTTATTCCTTTTAAATTTAATCTTTGATTTTTTTTCTTTCTCTAATGTAAATTAAGATCTATTTAGCTAATTACTTAACTTTTCAACATTTAGTTTTGTAGTTCTTTACTTAAGTTATAAATAAGCTTTACTGGTATATTATTCCATAATTAACTTTTGATTATCTATTTTTATTCATGATTCAGGTTAGGTGTGCTTTGACTATAGTTCGAAATTAACAATCATTAGTTCTATTTTACAGCTTGGCATCATTTTTCATGCTTAACTCTTTCGTAAAATTTTCTGTTTCACTATCGATCTTGCATCCATTTCTTTTCTCTAATTTTGTATAGTAAATATTTTTTATTATTTGTGATTATTCATAAAGTATTACAGTATTATGTTACATTTTTATTTGTTGACTAAATTCTTGTAATATGGGAAAAATTATTATCAAAATTTCAATCCATTATATTTATGGTTTTGATTCATTATATAATATATTTTATTTACTATAATATTATTCTTAATTTTAAAGTTTTAAAATTTTGATTCACAAAGTATTTAGCTGGTAATAAAGCACAGTTTTATTTATTAATTTTCAAATTGTTGAATACAAGCTGAAATGATGTTGGAATATAAAAATGTTTTTCATATGGTTTTCAACCTAACTTTTCTCATCAGGGATGTATTTGTACAAACTTGACCATATAGTATGATTAAAGTTTGTGTAAGCTAACATCATTTTTTTCCCCTAGGCAAAGGTGAATAACTCCAGCCAGATTGGATTAGGCCTATCTCATCGATTAAGACAAGGTATTGACTATTTTTTTACATATTTTATTTCCAACTTCATTGATATAAACCATGATTTTAAATAAGATATTTATCAAATCAAATCAGATTTTTAATCAGATCAAATCAGATTGATTAAATCAGAATTTTTTTTTTTTTTTTAAACATTTATCAACCAAAGCATCTAACAAAATGTATTAATCAATACTTATTATTCAAAAACAATATAATAGCTAAAACAATTATTTCTAACAAAAATGGTTGAAATTGTTATTTTAATTATAACACAGATTACTAAAAATCATTGTTGTTTTTTCAATGTTCTAACGAATTTTAAAAACAGATAAACAATTTATTAATTCTATATCATATGAAGAGTGATTTACTTTGATTCGGAAAACTTAACTAAAATATAAAATTATTTTAAGTCACACCGAATCGAATGTATCTCTTCATTATTGATATACACTAACTTTAAATAAACATAAAACGTAATAGGTATAGTTGAAAGATATTAATTGCTAACACATTATTTTACTTGAAAGCTGATGAAAAATTATAATTTAAAAATTTCATGCCAATCTTAACTTATTTAGTAACATTTTTAACTACTTTTTTTTTATTAAGCCTACATTATCAATGAAAACAGACCTTTAAAAAAATTGCACCCTAAAGAATGTATTGCATTGTATAAAAAATATTTTAGATTTAAATTATTGAAAAAAACTCTGTTTTGAGTTAATATGGTTTTCTTTAAAAAAAAAAAAGTCACAGTTTATTTTAATCATAATTTAAATCGTGCCAACCCTGATTTTTAAAAAAAAATCATCTTTTTTTTCTATCTTGATTTAATCCTATTCCTTGATTTATCCAGTGTTCCCCAACCTTTTTATCACCGCGGACCTGTCAAAGTTTGATAATTTTACCGCGACCCACTGGGGGGGGGGGGGGGGCGTTGATTGCTTTTATTTTAGATTATTTTGATTTATTAAATTTTATTTAATTGTATTTAAACATGGCTTCAAAATAAAATAATTACAGAAAAAATAAATATAAAGTGATTTAACATTTTAACTTACTAGAACGTAAAATCAATGAGAACCCTAAGCTTGTTTCGTTGCAATGAGACGTTTCCATTCTGCGGGTAATCGGAGACAATGATACATTACAAACATTAAAAAATTTATGTCACTACCTTCGGGGGCCCCTTTCTTTAAATAAATAAAATTTTAAATGGAACACAGATATTTTTAATTTGGGGGTATAAACCTAGGAATTTAAATTCAGTTTCAATGAAATGGGCGGCCCAGTACAATTTGATCCACGGACCGGTCACGGACCGGGGGTTGGGGAACACTGCTGTACAATACGAAATTCCCTACAAACCTTAGAAAGTACTTTTAAAACTTTATAAACAAAACATTTTAAAAATACTTCTTAAGGTTTTATGAAATGGTAAGTCAAAATAAGCATGGTAATACATATGCAATAAAATTGAAAAACATTATTTACCAATGATCTGATATTTTTAATTCCATATCAGCAATTAAACTGTGTTTGAAAATAGGGCATTTTTATTGGTTTATAGATTAGTAAGGAATGTACAAATTAGCTTCTAAAATCAAATCCGACTTCAGGTATATAGTTTGTAGAACTGGTACAAATAAAAGATAATGAGAAGGTATGTTTCTTCATTAAAGCAAAAGAACTAAAAAAATTACGAATATGGTATGGGGGGGTAGAAAATGCAAGCATAACTATTTTAGAATCCAATAACAGGGTATGTAGCATTTTTAAAAAAGTATTTCAATGTGCTTATTTTTTATTTACGTTTTTTAAAAGCCCTTGACGGTGCTTTTTTCATTTGGAGTTAGTAAAAAGTGTTTAATTTTCTATCTTTCAAAATGACATTTTTTCTTTGCTCTGTTGATTGTTGTCATAAATTTCAAATAAAGCATTATAAGATTAAGTTTTTGAAAATGTTTTTGCATTTTGTTAATTTTATGTAAATAAATAATGAACTTAAAGCAATAGGAAAAGATAATTTCTTTTACTGCACATTTTCTGATAATGATTTTTTTTCCCTTGTTTTGTTGTTAAAAGTGAGTAAAAATATTTTTTGAGTACTAAAATAGTGCTTAAAAGAAGCCTATTTTTTGTTGAAAAGTCGGGCTATACACCTTAAAAAAAGCTTTTCATTATAGTGATATCTTAGCTTGTGAAAATCTAACTGAAAAACTGTTGTTCAATGAGGCGAATTCCTAAAAATATTTTTCTTTTTGTCTAAATAAAATAAAATCTTTATAAAAACCAAATGCATTGCAATTAGATTCTAAGAAAAGAAAAAGACATCTCGAATATATGGATTAGACAATCAAATTTTTGAAACATGAATAACTTTAAAACAGGAATGATTATATTGAAATATTAAAAATATTCCTCATTTACTTAGTTTCTGAAAATTTCAATCTTTTAATGATTTATATTGATTTTTATAATTCTATTTGTAAAGACATCTTAATTTGTTAGTTACTTTCGTTTTAATTAAATATTAAAATTAGTAAATCTCCCCCTTTTTTTTTTCTTTAATGGAAATCAATAAAACCCACAACAGAAAGTTTCATTTTATGTAAATATTAATTCTGCCTTTCTGTATGTTTTGTTAAGCTTTCCTAAGCTTTACATTTTAAAAACAGAGCAGAAAACCTTGCAACATATTTTCATTTGAATTAGAAGTATAGTTCTTTAATATTTTATCGGTTAAATTAAAATATAAAGTTTTTGAAAAAGAAATCATTAGTGTGAAAAGTTGTAGTACTTCAATAAGTCAATATTTTTTAATATATGGTGTAGCAACTGTTTTAAATTTGAAGACTTTAATCTGCTGTTTATTTAGCTTCAAAAATCTAATTTTCCCATGTTATTTGACATAGGAAATTCGGTGCAACTTTGCTCAGAAGCTAAACGGTTTAAGGGTTAATTTTTTCCCTGCTGTGCTCATTTTTTAATACATGAATTTGTAATATTACTGTGATGTTTGCATATGCGCGTGTCCATATTTCAACTCTTGACATTTCAAAAATAGAATGGAATTGGGCTGATTTTGAGTTTTAAAAAAAAATATGTAGATTTTTGTTTTAATTTTGAAAAAGAAAATTTACATACAGTTGAACTCAATTCATACTTGCTGCATTTTTCGTTTTCCCATGCGTATTTTATATCTGTCACTGAACAGCCGACCCAATTTTGGGTTTACAACTAGTAATGTTCAACTTCGTAGCCTTTTAATTTTGAACCAATCCAGAACACAAGGGAACTCCTGGATCAGTACCCAGAGGTATTGATTTGTTATGTGAACCTGGAGGACTTTGCGACTTGTCAGATTCAACATACATCAGTCACCATTTACTACTTCGGCTGGCCTGGTATCGAACTCTCTGACATGGGCCAGTGCCCTACCTACCTGGCTATCCTGGCCTACTTCTCATGTGTATTGTCCTATAGCTCTTGATGCTAATAATGAAGAAGAAAATGAGAATTTCTTAAGGAAAAAAGGCTTTCAGAATTCATATGAACTTACAAGAAATGAACTGCAATCTGTTACAAATGTTGAAAACTTACTTCCGCTAAGAAGAAAAGATTGTGTTCAAATTAAAATTTGCAAAGATATTAAATAAGTAAATATATTTTATTCATCCTTTTGAATGGTCAGAATTTTTGCTTTATGTCATTGGTCGATGTTTTATGTTGACCCGCATTCGTCGTTTTCCCATATCTGTCGTTTGTAATGAATTGTCCTTTAAAAAACAGGAGATTCTACTGTATCAAATAATTTTCATATTGTTCTTAAAAAAATTTGATTTTACGATGAAAAGCTCTCTTTTAGAAGAAAGAATTTTATATTTTTAATTTTAAATGTAGCATTGCAACTCAGTTATAATATACCATAATGTTCTCTAAAGAGATGTTAAAACTAATCTATTATTTTTTAAAATATAGATTTTTTTTTTCTTTTTAAATTTTAGGTATTCAGCTAACATTATCAGCAATGGTAGATGGCAGAAGCTTTAATCAAGGAGGACATAAACTTGGTCTTGGTTTAGATTTTGAAGCTTAAAACTCAGTATTTTCAGCCAAATATTTCAGTCATTGCTATTTATTTTCTGTTCGGGTTAGAATACGTAAAAAAAAATATAATTATCATTGCATTTGAGACACTGTCAGTGTTTGGCATTTATTGTGGAATAGTGAAGTATTAGATTTATCTTTTATTATATCTATGTTTTTAGATATTTTTTTTTAATGCTAGAGTATTATCTAAACTTTCTGAAAATTGTTATTTAACAATGTGATTAGTTTCTATTTTAAAATTTTACTGGTAGCAAAAAAATATTTATTAAGAAAGAGTATTTACTTTAAAACTAGTCTTTTATCATTTCTTTATATTTTTCAATGTGCTGCTGTAAAATATCCACTTATATGCCTCATATAAAGCTGTACAATAAATATCTGTAATTAAATGTTCTTCATAAACAACCTTTGATTATTTAATCCTAATTTCATATTTAGTATCAAAATTCTTTTCATATACGTTACAAAATGTATGGTTAAAATCATGTGTCTATGTGTTATTTAACTACCTTATAAGATCTGATTATAATTGTATTGCACATACTTAAATTAATGATTATTTTTACAATTTCAGCTAAGGCTGTCTCTAAATTTGTTCTCGTCCATGTTTTTTCAGTGCACTGCAATATAATAGTTGTAATAAATATTTGATTCAAAATATTTTCTTTTCTGTCTTGTCTTGCTACATTTCATACAAATATTTTAACAATTAAAATATCTTCAGTTAAGTCTGCTATTTTAATGCCATTAGATAGCTAAAAAATGTTTTTTTTTTTTTTTTTTTTTTTTTTTTTTTTTTTTTTTTTTTTTTTTTTAAAATTATCCTAAGCATCTTAAATGAATGTTTCTACTATCTTGCTAATAGTTTGAAGAGGTCTAAGTAACTTATACATATCATAGGTACAAGTTGAAAAACCTTAAAGCAAATTTCACTTTTATTAAAATTTATGAAAAATTCTAGAAATACAGTAAAATATATTTATTAAATTTCCCACATAAGAAAAAAAAAGTTATAAAATCATACACTTATTGATTTTGAAATTGACTAATTTTTTTGCACATTGAACTATTCTATATACTTTTTTCTGATGATTTTTTATGTTTTGAAAGAAACAAAATGGCAATCTAAGAATACTCTTAAACCAGGAAGATAAGGACAAAATTTCATAGAACTAGAGACAGGTTACATTAGAGTTTTTTAACCAATAACTGAATATTTAAATTGTTATTTTAGCTCTACAGTATTTTAAGTGGATATAACTGCAGACTTTTGTACTCTTGATTTCCTAACCAAAACTTTTTCAACAATCTGACACTTTCTTGTAAAGAGCTCAAAATTTTTTAGCCCTTGTCATATATGTGTATTTATAAATAGTAATTTAAAAAAAGGGGGATGTAATGTTTATAAGTGCAAAATATTTTTCTAGTTATATGTTGTAAGAAAAATAAATAAAATAGCTTAACGTTAAACAATTTTTTTTTAATCGAAAAATATAATTACATTGAGTGTTTTATTAAATGTATGAAAGTGAAAAAGTTAAGCATAATATATAAATGGCGTATTATTAAATATTTTCACAATTTACTTTTTGAAAGAAATATTTTATCCATTTTCATGACCTATGTATAGATTAGTTGGAATCCTATGCAATATCTCGCCTCCCATATTTAGTGGATGGCGAGATGAGACAACTGCCCACAAGAATAGCCTCAAAGGATTGCCAAATTCATATTACATAATTACAAATTAATTAAAGAATAAAATGTTATCAATTCACTCTGTTTCCAATTAAAATTTACTATCCATCCTATTTAAATTTCTCTGTTCTGCTTAAATTTCTATTTAATTATCTATCCCATTTAAATTTACTCTTTATTCTGCAATCCCAATGTTTCCCAAATTTTTGTGGCAGAGAACACATTGACATAGAAATTATTATTATACATACAAGACCCGTGCTAAGGATTACAAGTTATTAGCCAAATATCAAAAATGTTCCGAAATTTTTCGCCAAATGCAAATGTTAACAATTTTTTATGATTATTTTTTTCCCATATAAAACTTATTAACGATTGTTTGTTTCAGGCTTATATTATTTAGACACAATACTAATTGGTTATGTGACGCATCGTCCGAAAACTGTATCTACTGTAATCGAATAAACAATACTGATTTGATTAGAAAAATTCAATTTTATGTAATTTTGAGAATAGAGTTAAATATCTTTCTTTCCAGTGTAAAAAATCCTTCACCAAATTTTCGATTTTATCGCATCTGCCGAGAAAGTAAATATCTATATATATATTTCTCTTACATGGCACCAAAAAAAAGCCTCATTACAACTCGCCGAATGGCAACGTTAGAAAATCGACCAATGATTGCTGCTACCAATGTCACTTGAGGTGGCTCAACATATAGCGCTTTTAAAAACGGAAACAATAACCAGAGTGAGCATTATCAGGTTGTTCAATTCAGATTCATGCCCTAAAAACATGATAATATTTAATTTAAACTGGCTCAACATATAATGCTTTTTAAAACGGAAACAATAACAAGAGTGAGCATTATCAGGTTGTTCAATTCAGATTCATACCCTAAAAACATGATAATATTTAATTTAAACTCAATTAGGAATTAATTAGGCTTTGAGAAAATCAGTTTAGTATTGACTAAACAAGTTTTTAGTCATGACAACTTTATGTTGGCCTGTCAAGAGTTAAGTCATTTGACAGCCTTTCAGTAATTGCTCCAAGATGCCAAATCTGTTTTCAAAGAAATTCTAAATGCTTAGTGTTAATTTCTTAGAGCTTTGCAGAAAAAA